GTATTCCTCTCGTATCTTGGAAATGAGAAGCGTTCCCATTCCAGAACCAGTACCTCCTCCGAGAGAGTGGCAAACCTGAAAACCTGTTGCCAAACAAGTACATTAGGTAACAATTAGCACACTCGAAACCATATAAAGTGTATCCAACCAGAGTCAATTTGGATTCATAACCAAAATTCTACGATAATAATTATATCTTGTATCCAAACACTCGAAACCTCAGAAAATGGACATGGATCTACTGATCTAGCAACTAAAATCGAACTCGAAGAATACCTTGCAAGCAGTCGCAGTTCTCAGCCTCCTTCCGAACGACATCGAGAACAGAGTCAATCAACTCGGCGCCTTCGGTGTAATGACCCTTAGCCCAGTTGTTGCCGGCACCGGACTGCCCGAACACGAAGTTATCGGGCCGGAATATCTGGCCGTACGGTCCAGATCTGACGCTGTCCATGGTGCCTGGCTCCAGATCCATGAGGACGGCGCGTGGGACGAACCTCCCGCAACTGGCTTCGTTGTAGTAGACATTGACGCGCTCAAGCTGGAGCTCGTTGTCGCCTTGGTAACGACCGGTGGAGTCGATGCCGTGCTCGGCGCAGACGACCTCCCAGAACTTGGCGCCGATCTGGTTGCCGCATTGACCTCCCTGGATGTGGAGAATCTCACGCATTTTGAAGCGCGTTTGAAAGAGAGTGACTGTGTTTGACGAGAGAGGAATTTAGACTGAGGAGAAGAAGGTTCCAGAAGAGAGAAATGATCGGGAAGAAGATGAAGGGTTTTGGAGAGTGAGGAAGTGACGTGGGGTGTTTTATAGCGGGAGAGATAACGGATGAACTTGACGGCGCCGTTTGTTTTGAGTGGGAATTTAAATTTTGAAGAGCGAACCTGTAATTTTGAGTGTCGCAGGGGCTGATCTGGTATGTAAATTGCAGGGACCGGAGGGAATATGAGACGTTGATCGGGTTGGCTGCGTGGAGGTCAATTTGGATTGACGTGTCGATGTGAGGGAGTACCGGATGGCTTGGGGGGGTTGCAGTGGATGTTGTGCTTAACGTTTGGGATTTGTCCAAAAAAAAAAACGTTTGGGAAACGATTGGAGGACTGGATTTCACGCGTTGTGCAGTGGCTGACGGTTACGCGCCAGCGGCACAGTGGGGTAACGTATATTGGATGGTTTGGATGAGGCAGTGAGAGTCTGCAGACTGCACATGAGGTTCACACCGGTAACACGTGACTGGATAGGGTCATGTGAGTAGTACTTCACACAACTTTTTATTTTGCTACATCAAATCAAACAAATATTTGTTGACAATGAGCACTTAAAACGAATTTAGTAGGTAATTTGTTTAACTAAAAAAATTGGTGAGGGTTTTCTTATATATTTGTAGTTTGTGTGTTTCCCCCTTTTTCCATTTTCCAATGCATTTATGTGCTTGGTTTTATCAGCTAAAATGATTCAAAAGCAGCACTGGCGGGTTAGATAACTGACTAGAACAGTGAGCTCGTTCTTTTATAATCAAATTTGAATACTTATCTTGATTGTTTAAATTATCACTCGAGATGTTTGGAAGGTGAAAAATGTATATATATATATAATATTTGTTTGATAGAATTATGGAATAGAAGTTCAGTTGTCACATTTCAAGGTTATATATTTGGAAACTAAAATAAAGCATGAGATATATATACCAACCTTAGCTTTCACTCAATCTATAACATTAGAGAAGTGGCCCCATATAACTAGATGAACAAACCCAAAAGAGAGCGAAGCATTGTAATTATCATCATCATCATCATCATTACAAAAATGACATGAATTGAGATCAAGTGTAGCCATCACTCTACCCTTGGTCACAAAGCTAAGAAACCCATCATTTTTATAGGTAAGCAACTAAGATATGCCAACCCTACCCTCCAATAAAGGAATAATAATATTTTGAGAGAGGGGATCATCGGCTTTTAGCAAGAGGGCAGTGGCAAAGAGTCTAAACGCTCTGACATGCGTTCAGTGCTTACGCTTCAGTTTGCGGCCATTCCAAGCAAACCCATCGTGTTGATTTGAGCAATGCCATTGCCCCATTGGTGGTGGAGGGCTCCACGTGCCACCAACGACGGGGGTGGCTAAGGTTCTTTGCACCACACCTTCGAAGTTCATGATACACTTATTTGCATGGTCATGGATTGAAATCGAGTAAAGGAGACAACCAAGCAAATTTATTGGCAAAATTAAGAGGAAATTTTTAGTGAAATGAAATTTGTGTAAATACACTAAAGTATTTACCAAAATTGGAATCTCATATGTGGATATAAGGTTAGGGAGGAGCCTTCTAGTTTTGGCACTTAAGTGTCTTTGCAAATGTGAAATTCTATGAAGTTGCTTAGAAGGTTGATATTGGAGTAGTTACTTTTTTTATTTTTATCAAAGCATATCTTTAACCGACTAGAAGAGTTCAAAGCACGTAATTTGAGACGTGCACTGAACAATGTAAACGATTGAAGAGAAAAACTTGTATATCATGGGATAGTACTTATGAGACGCTTAAGTAGTGTCATTAATGCATAGATAATATGATGGGGTGGTAATCCAGTAGATTAGTTGGCGGTTAATTAGAGTTTAACGATGAAAGAATCAAATTTATAATTTATTTTTTTTATAAGGATAGATCTTCATGCCTATGACATAGCCTAAGTCCTATCAGGGCCAATGGCCAACTCAAAATGTGTTGAAATTGAAAATGGAGGCCTATTTAGGGGTACCTCCTAGAATGGGGAGGTTAATATGCGGGGCTTATTTGCAGGATGTAAACAACCGTCTAATTAAAATGAACAATTCAGTTTTAAAATTGTAGTTTTGTTACAACCGGGTTAAAATTACCCATCACAAAAACTACAACCGGAACTTCTCTCTCATTCAGAACCTCAAAAAAAAAAAAACAAAACTTTTCTCTCATCTCTCCCCCTTTGCAAGGTCAACACTGATGGTTGTCGGAGTAGAAATACTATAATTATTGGTGCTGGTGGTTTGTTATGCAGCTGGTGCTTGGCATAAGGGATTTTCTGTGAAAACCCAACAGTCACAACCATCGCACTCAAACCCAACCCACCAGAACCTACTCCATATCCAAATTTTGGAGAGAGAGAGAGAGAGAGAGATTTCATGTTTTTCTTGGTTTAATGTCATAGTTAGCATTTTGATTTTAATTTGGGGGTACTCTGTTTTTGTGTTCATAAAAATTTTGTGCAATGGGGCTCTATTTGTTATAGATCTCTGGTTGCAATGTATCATCTGAGCTTGCATACATTGCAACCATCTTGGCCCCAAGGAACGCATTAGGTTGGAGCCCACGCAAAGCCATCTGAGCATGGACTTGTTGGCCTAGTTTCAACAAGTTCTGGCCAGTCAATAATAGAAAAATTGGTGCATAGAATGAGATGCAAGTTGGGTCTTGTGCTAGCAATGATTTTAGAATTGGACATGTACGCATTGTTGCATACAGTGAGAGCAATGGAGCACTGCAACTGGGTAGTGAAGAACATGAGCGTTACGTTTATTTTTTCCTGCCGTATAGCTGAGCGGCTATACTTGGGTCTTTTTTCAATTTTAATAAACTGTATAGCCGCGCGGCTATACCTGGGTATGCTTTTAATTTTTTTAATAAATAGTATTGCCGCACGGCTATACTTGGGTCATTTTTTAAAAAAAAAAAAATAAATAGTAAAGCCGGGCGGCCATATCTGGCCACTTATAAAATGTTTTTTAAAATAAATAGTATAGCCGCCGGCCATACCAGGAGCTATTTTTTGTTTTTTTAATTATAAGTATAGCCGCAGGGCTATACTTGTGTCTTATTTAAAATTTGCTTAATTGTATAGCGCTGGCTATACCTTTGTCATTTTTTCGAATTCTTTTAAATAAATAATATAGCTGCGCGGCTCTCTCTCCATTTTTTCAGCCCCAACGCTAGCCAACCTAAAAAAGAAACCAACGAACCCACCCCATCGATCCCCAACCCAACCATTCTCTCTCTCTCTCTCTCTCTCTCTTTATAGGACACAATTAGATGTTTACACGGGTTTATAATTTGTCTAATTTTTTGTAAGAATGATCTATGAATGAAGACCTAAACAATAAATAGTTTGGATCATTGGAAAAATAATTGTATGATACCGAAATGAGTATCTACATATATATGTATATATATATATATATATATATATATATATACACCACAGAATGTTCTCAAGAACCTAGCTTTTCTACAAAATTTGATAGAGCAACCAGAGTTCTATAACAAATAGAGCTCCACTGCACAAAATTTTTATGAACACAGAAACAGAAAACCCCCAAATCAAAATCTAAATGCTAACTATGACATTAAACCAAGGGAAAACATGAAATCTCTCTCTCTCTCAAAAATTTGGATATGGAGTAGGTTGTGGTGGGTTGGGTTTGAGTGTGATGGTTGTGACTGTTGGGTTTTCGCCAGAAGAAGAGGAGGGGGGATGGGTGGTGACTGTTGGGTTTTCACAGAAAATCCCTTAAGCCAAGCACCAGCACCAATAATTCCAGTATTTCTACTCGTACAACCATCAGTGTTGACCTTGCAAAAGGGAAGAGATGAGAGAGAAGTTTCGGATTGTAGTTTTTGTAATGGGTAATTTAAACCTGGTTGTAGCATAAAGAGGATACTAATGTTAGCTATTTGATCAATTTAACGGGCCAGTGAGTAGCTCCCGTAAATAACCTCCGCACAAAATCTCCGCATTATAGTCTCGTCGCTATTTAGGGATCATTCAACACCTGACTTGGGTCAGGCTAACTGGGCCAACATGAGCACCCGAGAGGCCCCTGAGCCCACCGGCATGGTCAATTACTCAATCTAAGGAATTCCCTTGACTTTTCAGTTAACCGAATCATGACTTGACACGTAAGAAACATACAACGGTACTGACTGCAGGGGATTATCCTTCTTGTTGAACCCTTTGTTGTGTGCCCCCAAACCCCTCCGAAACTCCCAAGCTCTCGTTTTCGGCTTCTCAGACAATATGGTGAGCAAAAGACAGAGAGATGCTCGCAAGAGATTCAGAGCAGAAAACCCTGAACTGGTTAAACAGCCGACGCCGCCTAAGGACCCAAGCAAGAAGAAGGGAAAGAAGAGCACGTTCAAGCGCAAGAAAGCACCCAATGGTCCAGACAAACCCACCAAAACTTCTCATAGCAAACACCCACTTAGAGTCCCTGGTATGAGGCCTGGGGAGAGCTGTTTCATTTGTAAAGCCACCAACCATATCGCCAAGCTTTGCCCTGAGCGAGCTGGGTGGGACAAGCACAAGGTGTGAACTTTGTTTTGGTTTTGTTTTGTTTTTTGTTGGGTAGTACTGATTCTGATTTAGTTTGAGTTTCTTTATCTGGGTAATTTTTCAAATGATGGAACTTTGATTATGTTATCGAATTTTACGTGGGTTCTGTACGAAAATGGTGAACCAATCATGTACATTATGACTTCTGAATATTTCAGAAGTTAATGCCTGAAAAAAAATGGATTACAAATGCACATTTCTTCGTAAGTTTTTTTTTATTAGCTATTAGTAATGGAAAATCTGGTGAGAGCTTGAATCAAATTTGGTCTTTGTTTGGTCCTTTGCAAAAGTTAATAGAATAGAATTTTTATTTGAAATTGGTTATTCATGGTGTGGACTGGATCCGACCGATGTTCATGTGTTTTGCGATTATTTGATGCTTGCAGATATGTTTGTATTGTCGACAACGTGGGCATAGCATCAAGGATTGCCTTAACAAGAATGATGACACCGTGGCTGTGAAGTTATGTTATAATTGTGGGGAAACTGGGCATTCACTGTCTACCTGCCCCCTACCTCTTCAAGAAGGTAATCTTTCTCATCCTTTAAGTTACATCAAGTTTGTTTAATATTCGGATGATGCGTGCAGAAACTTTTTAATTGGCTATGCTTGAGTGTGTTTGTGTACTGGAGTAACACACATGCATTTGAAGTTTACATGAAGAATGCAGAGGTCTATAGCCTTATGAGTCAATCTGGTGATGATATCTTTTTTACTCTATAGTTATGTCATTGCATTGTTATTCATTTTGTTTATCTGGTAATGCAGGAGGAACTAAATTTGCCAAGTGCTTCATCTGTAACGAGACCGGTCACTTAAGCAAGGACTGCTCTAAAAATACTCATGGGATTTATCCAAAGGTGAATTAGTTTTCATCTGTGGTTTTGAATTTTCCACAACATGACTGCCTATATTCTTAACAGAGAAATCAAAGTTTTCAGGATATTGATGTTATTCATTCATGCTTGAGCTATCCTAGCTAATATCCTCCATTAATAAACTCTGAAACTTCCCATTGTGAATTTCATTTATTAGGGTGGTAGTTGTAAGATCTGTGGAGGCGTAACACATTTGGCTAGAGATTGTCCCAACAAAGGCAACAGAGATTCAATGGCTGTTGGCGGAGCTTTTCACTCATGTAAGTTTTTCCCTTGGAACTCCTGAATTTGTTTGGAGCTTCAATTTACTTTGTTTAGACTTTTAGTCTTCTCACCAAGAAATTAGTAGTAGATTACTTTGACATGCTTGCTCAAATTGAGGTATATGTTTTAAGTGTTTTGATTATAATCCCAGAGGCGTTGAAAGAAATAACCACCTTTCCATTGCAACCCTGATTTCATTCTCTTAGCAGAATACTACAATGACCTTTATCATGTTTCTGAAGATGAACTGAATTCTGCTGTCAAATTAGATGGTATCAATCTTGTTTTTGAAGTTGGCTGTTTTAATTCAAGGGCTGGTTTTAGATAGCCTTTTGAAGGAATTAGGCTACTTTCACAAAACTGAGTTCTGTTCCTACCCCCACCTTCTCATAATTTCAAGTATGAAAGCCGTGGTGTTTTCAGATATATTATGAAGTATTCTCTTTCCTCCATTTCAAATATGTTGTCAAGTGTGCTTGCATCAATTGATTTAAAAGAAGAGAGAAACACAAAGGAGACTTTGGAAAAACACAAAGGAGAGAGAAATTTTGTAAAAGAAGCCAAAATGGACAAAATTGCCCTTATTTATTTTTGGATTTCCTAAGGAATCCTTTATATTTGCATGTCTTTGATTTGAAAGTTGAGAGGTTTTTCTGTCTTTTTTGAAAAAGCTTTGGGTTTTTCCAAAAGTGAAAAAAAAAATTTGGCTAAAACCTAAATTTACTTTGATTTAATTGGCATTGTACTTAATTTAGTGCCCCTTTCTTTTTCAGGGAATGAAAATCAAAGGCCAAGAGGAAAGGTTACCAAACTTGTGAGTGGAGACGATCTTGATGATGATTTCAGTTTCGTGGATAAGAAACGTGGTGGTGCAACAGACGAGTCAGTTGATATAGTTGGTTCTGCTTCTCATGCGCAAGAAAGTCCTGTAAAATCAAAGAAGAAACAGGGACCCAAAGTAGTGAATTTTGTTGGATAAAGATGGCTCACGAATGAAGAAATTCATGTGAATTTTCAGTCTTTCCTTTGTATGGCACGGCGCAGCTGCGTTGCTTTGGCACCATCCACGATTTTGCCATAGTCCAAAATATTCTCAGTGGTCTTCAGAAATTATTTTCGTAGTTCTAAATGTATAACCTTGACTTCATAACATATATTAGCATAATTTGTTTTGAGTTTCATTTGTATTGTATGCTAAAAACCAAGTGTACACTCATACTATCATTATATCAAGATAGCCTTTAAACTTAAAATGGGTTTTCTATTTTTACTGTTTACATTTTATCTCAATCAACTCATCCTCCAATTCTCTGTCATCATTTTAAACAAGGTAAAAAAACAAAAGAAGAGTATATTGTTGTTGCGCATGCAAGCAATCATACATTAATATAAAACGTAAGGAGATGATTAGTTGTGTATATGATAAGCCGTAGAAGCTTCAGAGAATTCTCAACCTTTGTTTTGTCCCTTAAAATTCTCTTATTCCCCCGCAATTTTCTGAGCTCCTTCTCATTGCTCCCCAAAAATAAGGATCTATCCCTCGGGTATACCCTGCATCTCTCTCTTTCTTTTCCTCTTTCTTCTTCTTCTTCATTTCGCACTACACACTCCCTCTCTTTTTGGACAACAAAATGGTATCTCTCTCTCTCTCTCTCTCTCTCTCTCTCTCTCATGTAATTCTCATCTCCAATGTTTCTGTGAAGCTGAGCAGAAAATTTGAAACACTTATAACTAATGAATGAGAATGGTTCAGATGCAAGCATGTAACAATTTTGATTACACATACTGATTTAAACTTCTGTTTTTCTCTTCTTTTCTTTTCTTGGGGCATGATCTGAATGGTTTTTTTGATCAGTACCCTACCTTGCATGGCAAATCGTTTGAAAATTGCACGGAAAAAAAAAAGGATAAAATTTTCTTGTTCTATACTTGTATAATTTCGTGGAAATTCTGCTTTTCTTTGGCTAGGTAAGAATGTTGTTGCTGCCTTGTTATATTATTGTAAGTTGTTGCTTAAAAACTAAAATGAATGTTGGGTTGGGGCAGGCGGCGTCTGGCATGGCTGTGAGTGATGAATGCAAACTCAAGTTCCTGGAGCTAAAAGCGAAGAGAAACCATCGATACATCATATTCAAGATTGAGATTCAACAAGTGGTGGTAGAGAAGGTTGGTACCAAAGAAGAAACATATGACGACTTCGCGGCATCCCTGCCTGCCGATGAGTGCCGCTATGCTGTCTTCGATTTTGATTTCACCACTGTCGAGAACTGCCAGAAAAGCAAGATTTTCTTCATTGCATGGTAATTAAATAATTAGTTTAAAACTTTGGTTATTTGATTTAATGCTCATTGTCTTAGGTGCTAATATTATGCATGAAACTTTGATAGGTCCCCTGATACATCAAAGGTGAGAATGAAGATGGTGTATGCAAGCTCCAAAGATAGATTCAAGAGGGAATTGGATGGCACTCAAGTTGAGTTGCAGGCAACTGATCCTAGCGAAATCAGCCTTGACATTATAAAAAGCCGAGCTCTTTAAGCAACCAAACTCATCCACCTCCCCTAAACATTTACATTTAACATTTTTCTGTTCAAAATCCCATCTTCTTCTTCTTCTTCTTCTTCTTCCTTTTCTTTTCTTCTTTTCTTCTCTGTTGTATGGGGTTGCATACCAACCATGTAGTTTAATGTAATATTATGAATTCTTTTATCAATTCCAAACTTTTTACAACATTTTCTTCAATTTAGTCAATACAAGGGATATATCATCTCTGTTTTCAACTTCAGAAATATCCAAGTCAACAGTTTAATTCTTGAAGCCAGCTCAAATACAGAATAATTGAGTATTGATTTGAAGCACCATTAAAATTATGATCCATATAATAATTTCAAAGTGGTCACAAAGCACAACTGAAATCAAGATCAATAGAAAGAAAGAGAAAAAAACAAACAGAAAATACTGATAGATTTTCTTAGTGGGAAATCTTTCTGCTAATAATATCCAGAAAGGAATGAATAATACATAAAAACTTAGTTGAGCTGTAAGTACTCAAAACTAATTAACTTGTATACATAAACTAAACCCTCCCTATGATTTCTTACTCTGACTCTCCCAGTAATTCCTCTCCCATGTTTCAACTTGTTTAATGGAATTTGCTTTTCTCCTAAGCACTGCAAAAAGAGATGAAGGATCATAAGGCGGAGGCATTGTGCATGGCTCACTGACTGCAGGGCCCTTCACCAGAGATTGCAGCATAAACTTCTTCTCTGTTCCTTCTGCTTGGCAAGCCATTGCCTCCGAGCAGAGCTCAACGGCTTTTTTAGGTACGGTGGGCTTGAATTGTAAGAGCTTTGCATACTCATTCAAAAGATGAAACATGTAGTCATACACATAGTCCATCTTCAGCTCCTCTTGAATTAAATTACTTGATGCCTTTCCAATTGCTTGTGCCTGAAGAAACCAATGAAAAAGCAATAATGCAAAAAGAAATATGAACATTGAAAAAGCCTTAAAGGAGTTATGTTACCTTTCGCCTGTGAGTGTTGCCCCAATCAACAGAGAACTTAATAGACCTGCACTTGTCGTCGTCCTTGATCGGCCAGTAGTGTTCTACTGGCATCAAACGTCTTGTGAAGAAATCGTAGTAACGGGGTTTTACTATCAAGGTAACAGAATCACAGGCAAGGATGTATTTTTCACTGACAGACCAAGCAGACCCTTCTATGTAGATCTTATACCTGCAATGAAAATAATTAAGATGCGCACTTGTAAATAGTTAGGCAAATAAACACTCTGCAATTGTGGGATCTTGGAACCTATGAATGCATTGGCTTGCCAAATCTGATTTATTGTACCCTTCCTTCGATTCTCGATCCCAGTCCTGCAATCGATTTTTCGACAACAGTGTCAGATTCTCTCTCCTCTCTCTCTCTCTCTCTCTCTCTTTATTTTATTATTTTTTTTCTGTTCTACGTATGAGCTAACCTATATTTTACTTAACTACAATTGTAATGTAAAGTAGAGGAGCAAAAGGAGATAGCTAGGTAATGTTGCAAACCTGAGCATAAAGGCGAGCGTTCCAGTCATGTTCCTTAGAAACATTACATTTGATGAGGTCTTGCCTGGTTTCAGCAATAGCTGGATTTCCCTTCCAATAAGCATAAGGTTCTCTTTCTAGCCAGGTCTTCCTATTGTTGCCTTCCTTTAGTTCCTCGAACAAAACCTCCCATGGCCTTATATTTATTTCAGCCCTACACAAGGAACAGAGCAATCTACATGTCATTTGTGACAGAACCTAGCAAATTCACACTCACTCACATTAAACAATGGGTATATTCCTTTATTTTTGGACCGTCAACATTGTTTGGGAATAGGGAATTCGAACTTATAATTTTTTTTAACACTGAAAAAAGAAATAGCACTGTACTAAAAAATGTCAAGAAGTCTTACCAACCCCAAAAGGACCAATCGGGGAAGACAATATCGAGTGTGTTGTCATCCGCACAATAGCGAAACAACGGTGGTGGGGCCGTGGCGTTGGGCCCGCTATATTCGTGGGATGGAATGACTGGCCAGTCAACGCAGTCAAACATCAGCTCTAAATCAGGCACCTGTCCTGGATACCTCCGTAACAACTGTAGGAACCCCCACACCGTAAAAACGTCTCTGGTCTGAAACGCCTTCTCATATTGCTCCACGTAAGCCTTGCCATTCACGATCACCAACTTAAAGTTGGCCGTACGATTGGCTCTCTCTACCATTTCCCTTGTGATCCCCGTGCGGGCCCATGGCCTCAGGTCTTCATGTATCCAACGGAAGTATTCCGGACACGTGGATGGCGATGGACGCTCAGGATTTTGCTCCGGGTGGAATGTAGTAGGATAGTTTGAGGGGCAGGTTCCCCTGAGGTCGTAAGCAGGGCAGTTGAGTGGAATTTCCAATTTGCCTGGGGCCTTCTTGGGAATTTCACCGGTTTTGTGAGGGTACGATTGGGATGTTTTGGGAGTAGCTCCAAATAGAGTCTCTGTCTGTGACATAGAGCACCACGTAAACGAAGATCATCTCAATAATGACCTGTTAACTACTAATGAATGGCCCGGGTTTCATCATATATTCACAGTTGACAATCACTCATATATATATATATATATATATGACTATTTTTAGCTCATTTTAATACTTTTTATCGATGCTTACTAATTATTATATAGCAAATAATCAGATGTCAAAAATCAACAATTATTTATGGAGCTTACCCAAAACAGGACATGACATAATAAGTGACAAATATTGTAATACAAGCATGTTATATCCCACGTTTTTATGTGAATAATATTTTCGGATGTACGACATCGATTACAATGCCGTTGTACCTCCCAGTTCTAGACATCACCACTGAAATAAAATACTGGAAAAATAAATAAATAAAAGAATTATTGGAAACAATGGTGTCGGAGAATGTTATGATCATCATGCATGACTTACATTGTAGTTAAGCAGCCGCGTGCAAATAAGGGCGCCAACGAGAACGAAGAGGACGACGAAGATAGCAGAAAATCTTGCAGCGGACTCCATAAATGGCCGCGAGATTAAGATGGCGGGGGTGTCAATACCCGACCCGTACCACAAGTAGTGCTGGTGCAACGCTGGCTCTGGATCGCCTCTGTATTTCTCCTTCTCCTCGTGTGTCTCCGTAACAGTATTCTTTTTTAACCATTATTTTCCTCCTTGTAGTTGTCTGACAACCATGTTTTATGATTTAACATTTGGAAACCAAATTCCACGGATCTCATGAGCTGGCTGGGTAAGTGGTGGTACTTATTTCTCGAAATGGGTTTGTTTCAGTTTTGACTGGTTGAGGCTCTATGGCCCAGAACAAGTTCCTGCATTTTCCTTCAAGCTCTTGAGATACATCAAATGTTTATTCAGTTTGAACTTTGAATTCATTTAACACCTTCCTTCATTATATATTTTTTTGGAGAATATTTCCTTCATTATTTTAGGCGCTAATGCTCTGCATGAAACCTGATTTTCTACGTTGTGATTTGATATGATAGGTTCCTGATACATCAAATGTGTGATGAGAGAATGAAAAAATTTATAATTTCAAGCGGGGAAAAAGCACAACTCAAAAACTTCAACCAATATTGATTATTTAATTGTGACATACTTGTTTAGTGGAAATCTTTCTGCTAATAATAATACTCAGAGCTGTAAGTGCTCAACACTAATTCATCTGTATACATCGATATATCATATACATTACCCTACTTACGATTGCTTACTCTGAATCTCCCAGTATTTCTTCTCCCATGTTTCTACTTGTTTAATTGAATTTGCATTTCTCCTAAGCACTGCAAAAAGAGATGCTGGACCGTAAGGAGGAGGCATAGTGCATGGATTACTGACTGCAGGACCCTTCACCATAGATTCCATCATAAATTTCTTTTCTGTTCCTTGCGCTTGGCAAGCCATCGCCTCTGAGCAGAGCTCAATAGCTTTTCGAGGTATGGTTGGCTTGAATTGTAAGAGCTTTGCGTATTCATTCAGAAGATGAAACATGTAGTCATAGACATAGTCCATCTTCAACTCCTCTTGAATTAATTTACTTGCTGCCTTTCCAATGGCTTGTGCCTAATGCAATCGATGAAAAAGCAATGCAATTAGAAAAAAATGAACATAAAAAAGTGAGATTAGTTACTCCATTATTTCCTGATCAGCTTCTGTCCTTTTTCATGTGAAAATTCAATCGTAAGTAGCAGTGAAAGTACGGTAAATTTTGCCAGCATGGTTATCAAAAGCTAAAGATAAACTGAGATGATCCGATGACTGGACAGATGAAATTCCAATGAACTCTAGACAAAAACTTCATATGAGGAATGATAAAGTTTTCAAGTCCATTGTCCAAAATGATCCCTCTACGATGATTTCTGGAAATAACAGCATGAACGCCACACTTAAAAAACAGTCAAAATTAGGTGAAAATGACAAGTTAAAGAATGTTTTAGCTAAAGGTCTAAGACACATAAAAAAATTAGTGACGGAAGCCTAACAAATCATATTACCTTTTGCTTGTGGCTGTTGCCCCAATCAACAGCAAACTTAATGGATCTGCACTTGTCATCATCCTTTATGGGCCAGTAGTGGTGCACTGGCATCAAACTTCTCGTGAAGAAATCGTAGTAGCGGGGTTTAACAATTAAGGTGACAGAATCACATGCAAGAATGTACTTATCACTGACAGACCAAGCAGACCCTTCTATGTAGATCTTATACCTGCAATGATTGTTCATGGAATAACCCAAGTCAGGACATTAGGGGCACATTAAAAATGATTAAACCAAGAACACTGGGGATAGTGGGAAGATGTTTCTACCTATCAACGCATTGGCTTGCCAAATCCGATTGCTTGTACCCTTCGCTTGATTCTCGTAACCAATCCTGCAAGTGGTTTTCAATGACATTATCAGATTCTGCATTTTTACTACATATATTGGACTTGCAATTGGAATGCATAAAGGGTAATGGCACGGTACCTGAGCGTAAACGCGAGCGTTCCAGTCCTGTTGGTCAGAAACATTACATTTGAGGAGATCTTGCCTGGTTGCAGCAACGGATGGATTTCCCTTCCAATAAGCATAAGGTGCTCTGTCTATCCACCTCTTCCTCTTGTTGCCATCCTCTAGGTCCTTTAACAAAACCTCCCATGGCTTTATATTGATCTCAGCCCTGCCCAAGGAAGAAGCCAAGTTACATGCAATTTCTTTAGAAACCTCACAAATTTACATGCACATTTAACAACGTCAAATTCATTTTTTGGACCATCAACCATGGCTTCGTTCAATCAAAACATTATTGATTTAATGTCATGAATTATTATTTCAACGAAAATGGCAAAAAAATAAATAAAAATAAAGGTCAGTAATCTTACCATCCCCAAAAGGACCAATCAGGGAAGACAATATCGAGTGAGTTGTCATCCCCACAGTAGCGGAACAACGGTGGTGGGGCCGTGGCATTGGGACCACTATAATCGTTCGATGAAATAACCGGCCAGTCAACGCAGTCAAACATGAGCTCCAAATCAGGCACCTGTCCTGGATACCTCCGTAACAGCTGTAGAATCCCCCACATTGTAAAAACGTCTCTGGTCTGAAATGACTTCTGATACTTCTCCACGTAAGCTTTCCCATTTACAATCACCAACTTGAAATTGGCCGTACGCTTGGCTCGCTGTACCATGTCTCTCGTGATCCCCGTATGGGCCCATGGCCTGAGGTCCTCGTGTATCCAGCGGAAGTATTCCGGACACGTGGGTGGTAATGGACGGTCAGAATCTTGCTCCGGCTGGGAGGTGGCAGTGGGGTAGTTTGACGGGCAGGTTCGTGTGAGGTCGTAAGCAGTGCAGTTGAGTGGGATCTCACGAGGGTGTTTTCGGGATGTTCTGGTGGTAATTATTGGTTCTTCGGCTGAAGTATCCACTAGAATCTGGGTTTGTGACACGAAGCACAGAGTTTTTTAAAAAAAAAACAGTGTCAATATTAACGGCCCAACATTATATACGATACGAAATTCTATATTCAGTACATTTTCATAAATTTCATTGCACATTTATCATCATTTGAAAAAGAGAAACTAGTTAAAAGTGCCCGAGGCCGAGCGCTCCCCTCGTAAAGGAAGAGGCGGCGTGGTATTCCACGGGAGAGGTTTTAATCGTGGCGCACGTCAGTGCGTTGGGCACACATTAACAACCAACTTCTCACTTTAGGGGTTGCGTTTGGGGCTCCATGGCCGCTCTGCTGCTCTAGTTTTTGCAGCATCAGCGATCTGTTTGCCCTACATTATTTCTTAACCTTTTTTTCTTTTTTGGGCTTTGCCCCCTATTTTACCCAAAAAAAAAAAAAGAGAAACTAGTTTAGGTCAGTCGGTTAGGAAAAAAAATCCGTAGCCTTGCATCCAAATTCAAAAATTCCTCTTTTCGTCAAGAGAAAGCAAGCTCTACGTGCTACGTAGTCAACACTACATGTGGCTCATTAATGATGCCCTACGGGAAAAAGGTTAACCGACAGTCACGGCAAATGTTACCCCTGAGAATATTATTATACTCTCATGGAAACGACATGGATTCAAGCCGTTTTGACGAACGTCATTTGCCGTGTACCTTCCTTCTAGTTCTAGACATTCCCCACCATTTCAAAAAATAATTAAAACTTAAAAGACAAGAAAAAAAAATATATATATCTTTTTTTAAAATAAAAAAAATTTGGAATATTGGAAACAGGGGTGTCCTGTCAACGAGACTGGTGGGCAAGAGACTTACAGGGGAGTTGAGAAGGCGCGTGCAGACGAAAGCACCGAAGAGGAGGAAGAGGAGGACGAAGACGGCAGAAAATCGGGCAGGTGACTTCATAAATGGCCGCAACATTAAGATGGTGTCTACGAAAGGACCATACAAGTAGCACCTCTGGCTCTGGAGCCTCTGCATATATATATTCTCGTTCTCTCTCATCTTATGTCTCTTCTTGTATTAACTACTTTTTGCCCCCTTCCTCTCAGACAACAATGGTTCTGATTTCACTGTTAGAAACCAAATTCCATCGATTTGATCAACTGGGTGAGTAGTGGTTCTTGTTTCCTCAAATGGGTTGGCTTCAGTTTGGCTGGTTGAGGCTCTATGAAGCAGAACAAGTTGGCGCATTTACTCTGAAGCTGATGAAAAGGTTGAGGCTTTCTTGGTTAATTCAGTTTGAAATTTGAATTAATACAAGAAGAAGAAGAAGAAGAAGAAGTAGTAGTAGTAGTAGTAGTAGTAGTAGTAGGTGAAGCTATAGACTAAGAATCTAGGATCTGAGATATAGATCGTGGACAGAGCTTGTTGCCTAATAAAATGAGCTGATGAAAAGGATTGTTTAGGTAAGTAATAAATCTGGTAAGGACTAATAATGGATCGGAGATGGAGACTGTGATGAAAAGAATATGAGGTTTAAAAAAAAAAGTTGGTTAGATCGGAAAGGAAATGGAAGGGACAAAGAAAGACAGAGATAGATGAGAGAAGGGAGCCAAGAGGTGGGGAATTGGGAGCAATGAATGGTCAATAGAGTTTACAAAATAGAGGCTTTTTCGAAGGTGGAATCTCGTCTCGTGAGAATGTTAACTTCTTAATTTTTTTAGTATAGATAGAGGATGGCTACACGACAAAGCTGATTTGCGTGAAAAGTTGAAAAGATAATTGCAAATTTTCAAATCCAAACAAAAGTGCGAGTGACCATTTAGCATTTGTTTCATCATGGATTTGCTGCTGGTTTTGGAATTTATTTATGATCCTTTATTTATTGCATAAATTAAAACGGACTTGGTACAGTAGACGTTATGGGCCTTTTGGTTGCTTCCGAAAAGTCTTTAAAGTGGAAAGTGCGTAGCTTCCCTTGATTGGACTTGCATCGATCCACATATGTACATTAATTCATATTCCTTTGGGGAGTTATGTTTATATTTGTTGGTAACTTGGGCCCCTTGTAACCAAAAGTTTGGCAAAAGGAAGTAAAGGCACCTAATTACCATCTTTGCTATGTTCGCCGATCATTATGCTCCAAAAGAAGAGAATATTTGTCATCAGAAATCTTGCAATTCCAACATAACCTACGGAGTATTCTTCTTTACCTCATGAATTCACCAGCATATTGTTCTAGGAAGTAGTTCATGTTTAATGTTATTTTTTCCAAGCTAAAACTTTAAAGCTGCGGATTCTGTTCTGTTCTGAAATTCTTTTCAAAGTGTTAAAGCTGATGCAGAGTTCTGTTATGTTATGTACAAACCTTGAAGCTAGACAGAACAACAAAAGCTACTGATGAGCTTCAGAGCTTATTTGAGACATGGACTTGACCTTGATGTGTATAATTCATAAATAAATACCTTTCTCTTTGTTAAAATAAAAACACCAATCAAGTAAAACAGAGACATGCATGTTATTATTATGTTGATGCCCATCAAATGCAAAGCATTGGAAATTATGGACCACTTGGTGGTTTTGATTAAGTGTGTGAGGTCCTACATGCCATGCCAATGCCATATACAAATGGGGGGTAAAATGATGGTTTTGATTAGTGTCCTCCATCATTCCTTCCTGTGGAGCGTGTAGTTTTGGCAGGAAAGAAATTGAAAATGCACAGTGGACTGGACCGTGTCTGTGTTATTAAAGTGACACAGAAGAGAGAGAAAGAGAGCAGGAGCAAGAGGATTAGCTTCGGGGTTTGAGCTAGCTAGCACAAAATCACGCCTTCCCATTCCACGCGTGAACCCTCTTTCTCATGCTACCTCTCCAACATTATTCTCAAAACCCAATATACATATATAAGTCAGAAGCCCTCTCCTCTCTATAGGTCTCTTGCTACCTTCATTGTATTTGTATTCATCTTGAAGCTACCGGAAGCATGTCTGTAAGTTTCTCTTTTCCTCTCTTCTCTTGCACAAACACACAAAGCACTCACTGTGGAATATAAGAAAATATATTGACAATGTGGAGATTTTGCAGATTGTGGAGGTGAGAGTTCCAAACCTTGATTGTGAAGGATGTGCTTCCAAGGTAAAGAAAGCTCTCTTCAAACTCAAAGGTACTTACAATACATCCTTATTTATGTGTGTATATATATTTCTGGAACAAATTAACTACAGAAGGAATGACTTATTTTGAGTTGGCATATAACTCATTTCACTGCATTTTGCAAAATGCAATTGAACTGGGAATTAAGGAAAGAAAATTATGAGTTCATGCTGCTGCGCATTGTCAACCCCAGTTTGTTTGGGTTGTGGATGGGCCCAGTCATACTGAGTTCTAGGCCTACAACAATGGACCCAACACTTTTGGGCTTGAAGCAAGCTGATTCAGCCTCTCAGGAGATATGAATAAGGAGCCCAATCGGGGTTTATTAATTACTTTTGACAAATGTAATTTTCATTTTTAATAGGTGTGGAGGAGGTGGAAATAGAAATGGAGATCCAGAAGATAATTGTGAGAGGGTATGGGTTGGAGGAAAAGAAAGTGGTGAAGGCTATTAAGCGAGCTGGAAAAGCAGCAGAGCCATGGCCCTTTCCTGGATACTCTCATTTTGCCTCATTTTACAAGTACCCTACCTACATTGTCAACCATTATTACGACACGTACAAAAATGAAACCACCACCGGCGTACACACCTTCTTCCACACTCCATCAGTTTATTCGGTAGCCGTGGCATCCGATGAGGCCATCGCTTCGCTTTTTAGCGACGACAATCCACATGCCTGCTCCATCATGTGATTAATAGTTTCAATTTTGAGTGGTTCAATCTTTAATTTGTTATTTTGTAATTTTTTACCTGTTTTTGAGCTCCTTTTTGTTGCTTCGTATCGTTAGTCTCGTGCTTTGATATGTTCGAGTTGTTCCTTTTCTACAAGAACGTAGTTTAAGAAGAATGAGCAAGTTTTGTATTTCGGAAAGATTGAATTATTGTGAGGAAATATGAATTGGTTTGGTTCTATTCGTAAAATAGTAGCCTATTTTATTTTATTTTTTGGATACAAAAAGTGGTCAATGGAAGAAAACCAATTGGTTGACTAAGTGCATCTGAAAAGTTTAGGGTTTGGAAATTGAACCATTTAACACCTGTTTTTTGGAAAATTCAGAATTCAATATGGGGATGTCATATCTTCGTGAAGAAGTCATGGACTTCAGCGAGGAGGGGAAGAATTTGGCTCACTAAATTAATTAGGTCATTGCTTAGAAAAACATATTCAAGAAATTTCCACGAAAAAAAAATGAGGATTCAAAAGTAGGAAATAGTTGGATTAAAAATTGAATTCTTCCTCCTGCCATCATCATTTCATCACCACTCACCTGCCTTTGCTTTCAAAATATCTTCATCTCCTTTGAAAGTACATTCAATTATGGCCTTCTTCTTTTTTGCTTAGAGATCAAACATTCAATTAAAGTCACACACATGTGGCCTGCTTTTTTAGTGTATGCTGCAGTTTTCAAATGTGAAGAAAATTGTGCGTTACATCTTTTTCGAATTGAGTAGGGTCTTGAAAAAGGAATGGCCCTTTCCTATAGGATAGGTAGCCCAGCCAGGCCAGGCAACTGGCCCCAATCAAAGCAGCAACCATTGTTCTGTGATATCAACCCTAATTAAACAGGTGAAGCCTAAAAAAGGAATTTGATATGACATTTCATCTTCTTGACACCTCACACCTCACGCGCGGCCGGGGGAGGAAATCTTAAAATTTGGAAAATGTGCTCCAAGAGCCTACGTAACTAATTCTTCACATCAATTGGCATTTGCATGTTCATTCATTGTTGGCAATTTAGACCAAACATTCCGTAAGTAAAAGATTTACTTAACCCAGGTGAAAGAAAATTATTCCTCCTCCTAAACATTCATCAAAGGTAGTAAATTCAAGAGTCAGGACCCACCCAAACCCAAACCCAAACCCAAGTTCAAGCCCAGTTGCACCTCACAATTTTCCACCCTTTATAAAGGCCACAAAACCAACAATAGTTCTCGTGGTTTCATTCTCTCTCTCTCTCTCTCTCTCTCTCTCTCGCCTTTTTATTTGTGTTCTTGCTCTTAGAAAAATATGGCTCAGGTGCTTTTCCAATTCTAACATGCCCTTTTCAATTCAATAATTTAGTTTAAATCTTTCATGCTTACAGTGTTGTAAAATCTATGTACCATAGAACATATACTATAACCCTTGTTTAATTTTTTGTGTAAACTTTGTAGCAGAAGGTGGTTCTCAAGGTCATGACTATGACTGATGACAAAACAAAGCAGAAAGCCATTGAAGCTGCCGCTGATATATTTGGTATTTCTTTCTTTCTTTCCTTTGTTCCTTGCCAGAGTCTTGTTAACATCTTCAATATCCAAAAAGAACTTCTTGTCCCAGCTGTTGCATGTGAAATAGATCATCGTTTTAGCCACTGTCTCTGTTTTCTTCGCTTGAAATCCTTTGGTGATTTGATGAACAGGGATTGATTCAATAGCAGCAGATCTAAAGGACCAAAAGCTAACAGTGGTAGGGATGATGGATCCAGTGGCACTGGTGAAGAAGTTACCAAGGAAGAGAAAAAAGAAGAAAAGAAAGAGGAGAAAAAAGAGGAAAAGAAAGAAGAGAAAAAGGAGGAGAAGAAGGAGGAGAAAAAATGAAAAAGCCAAGTTTTTTTTTTTAATTTCTCATGGTAAATTTTCTCCTACTTACAAGAAGGAAAGCAGTAAGTTTTCTATGATGTATGGGCAATGTATGAGTTTATTTAAATGTATTGGCGAAGTAATTAAGAAGAAAAGAAAAAAGTGCAAATGGATGTAATTTGTAAGTGTTGAGAGATTGAGAAGCAAATTGGCTTTGGTGGTGGTGAGGAGAGGAGATGATAAGATCGGCAATTTTGTCATCTTTGAAATGAAGAAAAAAGTGCACAGAGTAAATAATATATTGTTGTTGGATGGCAATGGCATCATATTTTGTGGCGCCTACTAAAGCCAAGATTAGACATGCCTCATGCAATGCACTCACTTGAAAAAGGAATTACATAAATAAAAAAATAATCGTTCCATTCAGAATTTCAGAGAGTGACTGGCATGAATCTGATTGATTGTTTTTCTTTTTTTGCAATATAATTTTTAATTGTTGAAAGATGGGTGTGCTGAATCATGTCCCTTTCCTTTGTGGTCTGTTTGCCGTGTTTGATTGGAATTTGACACACCCAAAAAACATTCGATTAATTCTTGATGCGCATTTGATTTGAGTATTTGGTTATATCCACGAGGGCAGGTGAAAGAGGACTTACAATCTTGCGCCTAAGCCTGCAGCATTTGCAATTTAATTGTATATTAAGGAGAGAAAATTAGTGGGAAATGAAAAGGGGATCAACAACTGTTATAGGCTTGTATTCATTTGTCCTTGTTAGGCCAAATGCTTGTGATTCTTGCTTTTTCAACATAAAATATCAACTCGCACGTTTGAATCGGAAACGTATTGTCCAGCAAAACCCATTTGAAACCAAATTAAAATATAAAAAGTAGACCAAAAAGAGGTGATTATTTCAGTTTTTGTATTATATAACTGTGACGATTGCAGGAAATAGAATATGTTCTTGGCTAAATGCAGAGGTCATATCTCATATCATACCTGTGAGAAAGCACCAAAACCCAATTTACGCGTATGATCATAAACGCATAACGGACTGTCCATTTATTGCTTCATATGACTAAAAACACAAGTGCATGTAGCTACGCATATGTGCACCTATAATGTATGTTTCATTAGACTAAGTGAAACCAGTCTGGTACTCTATTTAGTTCTTTTGACTTCACAAGACCATAAAAACAGTAGTGACATTTATGTAGGCGGGGGAAGAACACATGGACAAACTGTTCGCGCTACAAAAATACAATGAAAAAATAACTTGTGCATATTTTACTTTTGTCCTTCAGAGACAATAGAAACAAGTTGTGGGTACATCGTGTAACTGAGATAGCCAGGAGATGCATAATGTTACCTGGTCCCTGGAGGAATGAGTTTCTTTATCTGTAGGTACAAGGTCAAACTGCGATAGCCAGGAGCCACATAATGTTAACTGAGCTGGATCAATTAGTTTCTTCCTATGAGATTGCAAGTAAACACTGCGAATACCAGAATCTATGGCTTCAACATCTCCTATATCCCTTGAACTTTGAAAGTAGATGGGTATACTGCCCCTTCTCCACCATATGTGTTATTACTTCATGAGCTTTGGCACGCTTCCCAGCATTTCGCAAATAACTTACTAGGGTGCTGTATACGGTGAAATTCGGATTGCAGCCTCTGGATTCCATATCCTTAAGCATGGAGCATGCTTCCTCAAACTTTCCTGCCATACAAAGCCCACGAATCATAGCATTGTATGTAAATACATTTGGAAGCTGCCCATTAGGGATCATCTCATCAAACACCCCTTGAGCCTTCTCAAGCTCCCCAGCCACAATATACCCCGATATCATTACAGTATAACAAACAACATCAGGAAAGCACTCATGCTTTATCATCTCATCAAAAAAATACTTGCAGGCATCCAAATTTCCAGCCCTGCTTAGTCCATCTATCAATGTTGTGAAGTGAAGAACACTTGGATCGAAACCGACTTCCTTCATGTGGTTCAAAAGATTAAGCGCGGCAAGTGGCTTGTCTCCCTTACCAAGGACATGAAGAAGAATATTGTAAGTATGAAAATCTGGAGCGAATCCACTCCTGCCCATTTCTTCAAGGAGTCTGTGAAATTGATCCAGCTTCCCCAATCTATATTTTGCATACATCATAACATTGTAAGTTAGAATATCTGTGCAGTGACCGTCTGCCAACATCTGTTGATATACCCACTCAATCAACTTGTACTGCTTCACCACAACAAGGGAGTGCAAAATTGCATTGTATGAGTGTTTAAATGGCCTATAGTTAAATGTCTTCGATTTGATGAATCTTTCCACAACTTTCTTAGCTAAGCCTGCCTCTCCACAAGTGCGTATCAAAATGCTGAACGTTTGTGCTGTAGTTGGATACCCTTTCTCAATCATCTCATCAACTAGCCTCCACATTGCTTTAAACTCCTCACAATCTGCAAATATCTTCATCATTAAATGATATGTGTTTGCTGTGTGCCTGTAATTTTCAAGCTGGCCAGACCACACAAAAAACTTATACCCCAACTTTGCACACCGCATTTTACTCGCATAATTTACTTGTTTCAAAATGTTGAACAGAACTTCCCTCACAAGAAGCCCTGAAACCTCTATATGTAACTCATCCAAAGCCGCTTTTGTATCAAACCCAGGGCCATCTTGTTGAAGAACTTCAAGAACCCTCCTGGTATGAATCTTCGCATTCTCAAAAAAACTCCGTCTCAGAGAGAAATACTCCCGGGGACGGTTCTCATACTCATGAACATTCTGTTTCTCATCTAAAACTGAATCAAAATCCGAACTTCTCCATATTCTCTTCAAGGGTTCCTCTATAAACTCATGCCCATTATCCCCCTTATTCCCACCAAAGCATCCATCACTTAATTTTCGTGCTACGACAAAATAACACGAAATCTTTTGAATAACCCTTGGACCAAACAGAGATATACAGTTCATGGTTGGTACCCATTATCTCTGCAACTTTACAGTACTTAATAAATCCAAGAAACACACGAATAAAACGATAATTAAAAGGACGCAGAACTTTAAAAGCTGTGAATTCTCAAATTGATGGATGCCCATTAAACTGGAGGGATCAAATTGCGCAAACAGTAGTGAATCGAGCAGAGGCAGTTCATTGAGCTGCCTATCTCCAAAGTGTGAAAGAAGACGAATGAGGACTTTGAGTTACCTGGAATTAAGCAATCTGATAAAGGCGATATCAGTCTCTTGAAGCTTGGCTCTGAAGTCCCGCCAGGGTTTTAGCTGTCGCAAGTGAGGAATTCAACTATTGAAGCTGGAGGAGAGAAAACCCCCTTTGAGCGAGGGGGAGAGGAAACGGATTCTCTGTTCCGATAGTAGAGTCACCCTGTGAAGCTCCACTTACCATACGACACGCTTGGAAAGAGAGGGTTGGTTTTTTGTTTTTTGATTAAACACGACTAGTTTTACCTTTATTTTTATTTTTTATATTTTTTAATATATATATATATACATATATAAAGTAAAAGACAGATAATTGTGAAACATTCAAAATATCATAAAATGTCCTTATTAATCCAAATATTAAGAATTAAAATTATTAATTAAATGAGAATAATATAATAAATTCACACTTTTTGATATTTAAAAAAAAATTAAAAAAAAGAAAAAGAAAAATCAAACAATAAATCCTATTTTAATGAAACATAACTACCCATTATTTTTTTTTATTCTAAAAGAAATTTATTTTTTTATAATAAAAAAAACCTCTCACATGCGCAGAATCGCGTGCGAAGAGGCTAGTTTAAACTAAATACTAGGCTAAATTTTACTTCTGCATTTTCTCATTGTGAAAAAAAAAAAATTTGTAAAATGTAAGGAATTTTGGTTAAAACCTAAATTTACTTTAAATAATTAAAAGTATTTATCATGCATCCAAGGTCCTAGGTTTAATTCCCTCCTTCCCAATATTGCTTGTGTCAAAAATAAAAAATACAAAAATGTAGAAAATTAGATCGTAACGATGATACGCTCATTATTTATTTAGGCTTAATCTCATGTCGGTTTAGGTGACATTTATCAGTTGTAATATACCCTAGTAGATAATCTATAGTCTACATTGATCATTTCCTCGATAGTAGACCACTTTACTTTCACACAAACATTCATCCTGTCAAATAAGTTAAGCACATATTTCATATAAATTTTTTGCTTATGTGACGAAATTTATACTCACACAACGGCTTTGATTTGTTTGGCCATTTGGCTTTGTGTCACGTAGTTTAGTTTTCATCTTTCCTTATATTTGACGACCTGCACAAATCATATTCTGGAACAACTCTACGTTGAAACTGAAACAGATTGTCCCCTGTTTTCATCATACATATTATACACACGGCAAACATTTTGAAACGTTGGAATTCACAATGAACACACCATCCTTGTCGGTTGTCAAACACTATTATAACACCCCATACAAAAACGAACTTCAAACAATCCCAGCTCTCTAGTCTCGGATTAATTTATTCACCAACACAAACTTCCATTCAGTTGCCCGACCCCTGATGACTTGGGTGCTCTGCTGCCCCACTTCCAGAACTAGAGAAACCATCTGTACCACCTGCCAACAAAACAACCAAAATGGAACCGAAATATTGTTATCAAACTAACCAAACTTAATTATTTTCTGATTAAATTTGAACAAATGTCGCAAGTTGTTACCGGTTGAAGAACCAGTGGACTGCTGAGGAGGAGGGTTTTCATCAGCTTTCCCAAACAATGAACTAACAGCGCCTTTAACCGTATCAGAAACAATCTTCCCATAGCTAGATTGCTCAACCCTCTCAATTCCACAATCTGGACCCAAGCGCTTCGTCACCTCCTCCGACTCGGTCACCTTCCCCACAGGCCGAGCAGAGTCCTCTGCCTTGGGCTTATGCAGAGCTTCCGATATCACCGCAGAAAGAGCCCTGTCCTCCTCGCCAGGCTTCAACTTCTCAGCAAAATAGTCCTTCACAGCAACTCCTTTGCCTTGGCCGGCTTTGCCTTGTGAAACTCCTTTGCCTTGCTGCTCAGGCGACGTTGATCCACCAGGCTTTGCTGTAACCTCCTGATGATCATCATCATCATTGTTCCCTCCATACCCGAGTTTGGAAGCGACGACATTCTTAGCAGATATTGCCGTGTCGGCTATAGCAGATGTGGCAGATGAAATTTTCTCAGTATAGGTGCTGCTCTGGTTTGATGGACTCTCAGCACAAAACTGGTCATGGCTTCCAGTGCTCAGATTTTGGTGTGGTTTTTGTTCATCACCACCACCTGTCACATGTTAGGAAATAAGTCCTTGGTCTAAAAACAAATAGGCCATAATCAGAAGGCCCATGTCAGGAAATAGGAAATTGATTTGCAGTAACAAAAACATAAACATGTTTTGTTTAGTCTAAAACAGATTAAGCCCATGACCACAAGGGCCATTATTAGTCCTATAGAACTTACCTGCATTACTTGAAGCAGTACAAGCCTGAGGCTTAATATCTCCATGTTGATCATTGTTCCCCCCATATCCCAGTTTTGAAGCAGCAACATTTTCTGCAGAGATTGCCTTGTCTGCAATAGCAGATGTGGCAGAAGTGTAGCTGCTCTGCTCAGTTCCAGCATGGATATTCATCTTATCAAGGGAGTGAATAATTGGTGTAATTCCTAATTCTTCACCACCTGTCACATGTTATGGAATCACAAATTATTTTGTAGCAAAAGATAAAGAGAGAATATATAATATTCCACAATTACCTGCATTAGTTGGATCAGTGACTTTGTTTTGATAATTTGAGGGAGTATAAGCCTGTGGATTAGGATCCTCTTCCAATCCTCTTGGTCGGTCCAAATTGACCCTGGATTGCCCTAAATGCCCTTCGTTCCCAGAAGCAGAAGTTTGACTTGGGTCCGTGACCTTGGACTTGTACTCTCCCAAAGAAGAAACAGGTGTGGTGTCCACCCTGGATTGACCTAAATGCCCTTCCTTCCCATGAGCAGAAGTTTGACTTGGTTCAGTGACCTTGGACTTGTCCCCTCCCAAAGAAGAAACAGGGGCGGTGTCCACCCTGGATTGACCTAAATGCCCTTCCTCCCCCTGAGCAAAAGTTTGACTTGGGTCTGTGACCTTGGACTTATGCTCTCCCAAAGAAGAAACAGGGGTAGTGTCCACCCCGGATTGACCTAAATGCCCTTCCTTCCCATGAGCAAAAGTTTGACTTGGGTCAGTGACCTTGGACTTATGCTCTCCCAAAGAAGAAACAGGGGTAGTGTCCACCCCGGATTGACCTAAATGCCCTTCCTTCCCATGAGCAAAAGTTTGACTTGGGTCAGTGACCTTGGACTTATGCTCTCCCAAAGAAGAAACAGGGGTGGTGTCCACCCCGGATTGACCTAAATGCCCTTCCTTCCCATCAGTGACCTTGGACTTGTACTCTCCCGAGGAAGAAACAGGGGTATTCTGTGGGGCATGAAGTCCTCCCCAAATTTCTGATGTTCTTCCAAAATTAGCATTGGGTTGCCCTGAAATTTCTTCATGCCCACCAAGAACAGATCCCATTGTTGAGCCACTGTAATCCATTGGCTCAAGAACATCCTCATGCATTAGCATCACCCCTGGTTCTGGATGCACATAATCCCTCTTGGGATCACTCATTTTGACGTCGGTCTTCTCCAAATTCGACCCTACAGGATCATCATGCATGGCTTTGGTGTCTCCAAATTTGACCAGAGGCACCTTCAAAATGTCTCCTTGCTCAGGAACACCGCTCCTAATTGCTGCACATAATATGACTAACTTGGTCATTTAATCTTGATCATTCATTAATATGTCGAAATGAAATCAAGCGCAAAGCAACTTACAAGTTGCACTATGCTTTTCTGCATCTTCGTCTTTTTCATCATCTTCCTCATCCAGATCATGATCATCAGGGATATGACCTTCCTGATGATCATGGTCATGGCCCTGCTTTGTGAGTGTGTTCTTTATCTTCTTTGCCTTCTCCTTCACCTTCTTCAAAACCGACTTCTTCTCATGGTGATCCTCATCTTCGCCTTCAACCAACCGCACAAAGATACTCACATTAACAGATAGAAAACCAAACCGACATTTGAAAAAATTAAAGAAAATCAAAAGACAAACATTTCTAGGATAATGAGGTTTTTACCAAGATGTCGGGGGTCCCTGTTGTGCTCCTGATTATGAGAATCCATTGTTCAAATCTGTGAAAATAGTAGAACTAATCGCAAGTAAAAAATTGATTGTGTGTTGTGCTTTTGCAAGTAAGTTGCAGAACAGAGTTGCAAAAACAAATGAGGGAAACCAAAGGTTTATAGAGGGTGCCTTAACGGAGGGTTCTGCCGCCTTTGCAATGCAACACTCTGGCGCTTTCTGAGCGAGACACGTCCCAAATAACCAACCATGTCTAGTTTTCTGCCACGTAGCTGGTAATGCGCTATACGTGGCTTTAGGGCCACATGAACTGCTTTTGTGTAATGGACAATCTTATACAGTTGCCAGCCAGATGGACGATCTTATACGGTTGCCAGCCAGCCGACATCCCATGAGTGATTTATTACATTACACTGGGACTGGGTTATGGCATTTAAATTGTGGATAGTTACCGACATGAACAAACAGGTCGGTCCTGAAATTTTGAGGACTTACGCAAAATTTCTTTATTATTTATTATATTTAAGAAGGATAGTCGGCAGTTATACTATTTAAATCATTATATTTACAGAATATAGTCGTGTTATACTCTTTAAATATTCGTAGACGTCTTAAAAAATCGATAAAATTCACATTTAAAAAAATATATATATAATATTTGTATTTGTACATGTATGTATATATTTCTCATATTCAATACACGTATGTTGTATAAATTTTTCAATACACAAAATTCATGTATTAAACAAATAATTCTCATATATTATCGAATAAAAATAATGTATATTAAAAAATTATATAGTTGCTGATTAATATCTACTTGAGATATGTTGAAATTAACAAATTAATATCTATAATGTATAAACTAATGCAACTAGGAGTGTGCTTTTTTATTAGTGTTTTTTAATTAAATTATACAGCCGCGCGGCTATATCTTTCAAATATAATGTATGTAAATAGTATATCCATGCCGCGATACTTATTTTGACACGTGGTGCCTAATCGCTAAGGGGTCTTTTTTTTATTTTTTTTTATAAAAAAGTAGTACAGTTACTCATCTACACTTGGTGTTTTTATTATTATTATTTTTTTAATAGTATAGCCATGCGGCTATATTTATTTTGACACGCGGCAAAGAGTCATTTTTAAAAAAGTATAGCCGCCCGGCTAGACTTAGTGTTATTAATGTTTTTTAAAAATCGTATAGCCGAACGGCTATACGTGTTTTACACGTTGCGCTGTGCGGCTATTCTGTTTTTTAAAATAAATAGTATAGCCGCCGGCTATATTCCATTTTTGAATTTTTAAAAAAAATAAATAGTATAGCCGTGCGGCTATATGTTTTAAATACAATGTATTTAAATATTCAAATTTATTATATTTTAAAAGGCTATACATTGGCTATACTCTTTAAATATTCAAATTTATTATATTTAAACGGTGTAGCCGCGCGACTATACTATTTAAATAATTGAATTTATTATATTTAAGGAGTATATATATACGAATTTATGCTATTTAAGGAGTATAACCGCATAGCTATACTCTTTAAATATTTAAATTTATTCTATTTAAATAATTTTTCATGGAGATCTATAATACTTGGTCATAATCATGTTTAGCTTTGTCACAACCACGTCCGGATTCGTGCAAACTTAAGAGAAAAGCACGTACGAAAAAGAAAGCAAAAGTTCTATGAACTTCGTCACAATTTATGCTTAGTCATCTATCTTACCACCACAATTTACGCTTAGTCACCTATAAATCAACCAATCATTTGGGCTTATACATATAATGGAAAGTTAAATTAACTAAAATATGTCAAACTTAGGTTCAAAAACCAAACCTGACTAGTTTGGATCGATTTCGATTTTTGTTTTGTATTAACGAGAGCCGAATAAAAAGACGAGTCATTTGCCTTCAAGCCCAAAATAAAATGGGTCGGGCCAAGCTTGGCATTTTTGGGAGTTTAGCTCTTGAAATAAGCCTGAAAAGGTCTTTGATTAGGTAAGCTTGTATGATCACTTGGACCTATTTTTGAAAGAAGCCCGAAAAAGTTCATAATCATCGCTTTGCCCCTTGTTTGCGCCGCTGAAGAACACGGCGACAAGAATGACATTTACATTCCACTTCAAAATTCTTCCTGTGCGTGGTCTTGGCGTGTTCAATGAAGCAAGACTTGAAGTCGAACTCTCGGGTGCACAAATAGCACATGTATCTCTCGGATGCAACAACCAGATGGACTAGCTGCTTGTACTTCAGCAAGGAAGCGTTGCTGGAAAATGTTTCAAGGCACAACTCACAATTTATTTTTTGTGTCTCTGTGTTTTTTGTCTCTTTAACATTTCATGATCAAACAACAGACATAAATGGCATTCACATTTAAGAATAATTAACATAAATTAAAATGATCGAGTAATTGTGCGTGTGGAAACAGAAAAGGCATATAATATCATTCTAGAAAGATGATTTATATGTTGGCTGCTAAGAAAGTGTGAACATATCAAATATTTATAAAATAGCAAAACGATTTTTATCTCCCTTTAGAGCATTTACAATCATATTCTCTTTCTTTTTTATATATATAAAAAACGATAGTATTTATTGATGAAACAGAATAAGTACAAAGCCACAAAAGTACCGAAATGAGTACAATATCTCTAGTGACCAAATACAACAACATGTTGATTTAATATGGAGAGAATTAAGCCAGCAGCCCAAAGCTCCTGAACTCATACTAACAATATAGATGCACCGTGCAATAGCAAAAACGACAGATCCGTATCGCAGCCAAAAAGTTCCTGAGAATTAAAATAAAATATTGAAAACTCCTAAAGAGTAATAGACTAAAACAAACAAAGAAACATGATCATTGTTCCACATCCTCTCTGATAACCTACAAGACTCATAACGCCATACCGACTAAACCCTTAGTGGTGCACCAGCTAACCCCAACCCACACAAACTGGAAACTTCCATGATTGTAACTCCAAACTCTGAACTAGTGCCAAACTGTGTATGTGGACCAAAAGCGACAACTAAATCTTGGGGACAATGGTGTTTTACGGTGACTGCTTCAACAATAGCTATAAACTAGTATAGCAACCGGTGCTATCCCACCGACGTTGGCACAGCTGTCTCTGCCTGCAACCAAAAACAGAAAAACAAAAAACAAAACAAAACCAAGATACACGTGGATGAGGAAATGAAGAAGGAAAGGGAAGGAAAGAGAAGTAAGAGGGGTTGAGAGGAAGAAGAAATGAGGGTAAAAAAATATGGGAGATGAGGGGTAGAGGGAAGAGGGGCAGAGACCACATCCCCCTTCGTGCGACTGAACTGAATGGTATGAAGGGCTAGGGTTTTTTTTTTAACTAAGAGGAGAATACGGGCAATTAAAATTTAGCTAAAAATACACACAATCTATTTTAGGAGCGCTCTATCACATTTGAAATTCAATCATACTCCCTAGTTTAGTTTTAAATTATAAGGAACTACTATAAGTGTTTTCTCTCTTCTCAAATTTAGAAGTTCTTAGAGATCTTTATATTTTAGGAGGTGGATAGGGAGCATGGTTGGAGTTAAATTTTTCCAATTCTTCCATAAAATTTGTATAAATAGATGATTGAGGGTGCTAATTGCGGATGCTTTTACTCATGAACAAATACATGACGTTGCATGTGATGACCATTGACCAGTATATAACCGCGGAGTGCGCACGTTAGTACAAACCGCGCCACCCTAATTAATTTGGGAGTTTCACTAAAACACCCAAAATAAGAGCTGAAATTATAAAAAAAACCTAACACCCAAAACACTTTATAAACACACTCAAAATCCATCATTACACACACTCAAAACTCATTTATAAACACACCCAAAAAATATATAATTGTTGACTTTGGGGTTAATTTTGGGTGTATTTCTATATTTAAATAGTGTTAGTTTTTTTATAAATACATGTATAAGATTGGGTTTATTTATAAATTTGTAAATTAATTTTAGAGGCCGAAATTTAAAGCGCGAAATTTAATTATTCCAAAACCAAAACCAGTCCGTTGTTTCTCTCGCTCTCAAATTTTGAAAGCTGAAATGCGAACTCGCTACCTCAACATCGACTACTTCACCGTCACTCCAATCCAAGCCCTAGAAACCCTAACCTTCCTTCACCTCCCAATCCCTCACCTCGCTCACTCTCATCTCTCAACATTCAATGGCCTCCATTTCCTCCACTTCGACGCGGTCCTCGAATTTTCGCTCCAAATCGAACAGTTACCGATCGAAACCGCTCTCTCCAAGTTCTTCTCCGACGTTCTTCCTCAGAGTATCGATCTCGATGCTTCAGACTTTGATATCGTCGGTTCGTCTCCAACTTCTAGAAGTTTCGGATCCGGAAGCCATGGGCTACAGTTTTCAGAGGTAACTGATTAGGAATTTGATGAGTATTCACAATGTAGTTAATTTTGAAATTGCCTGTGGATGAAGCTTTCAATTATAGGATTGTCATGCTTCTTATTCTTCAAATGAAAAAAAGAGTTACGAGAATGATTATTCAATCTAACTTATAGGTTCTGTTTGGCCGCTATGCGTATTGTGTATTAGAAGAAGAGGACATAGGAAAATTCAATCTATAATTCTCTTGAATTGTTTTCCTATTTTTCTGAAATTTAATTATGGCAATTGCTAATAACGTTTAAAGAAAGAGGAAAATTACTAAAGAAGCGACTGCTGATTGATTGATTTTAGTTGCTGACAGTATTATTTAAGAACTAAGAAAATTTATAAATCGTTTTTTTGTTTCTCAATTTCTCATTGCTTATGCTACAAAATGTTGTTATGAGTACAATTTTTCCGCTATGTAGTGTGTGGATACCACGGGACAATGAGAAGCTACGTAGATATTTTGTTTTTTTCATTTTTAGTCTTACTTTTGATGTATGGAAATCTAAAAAGAAGGCTACCTGCACGAAGTATATATTTTCTTCTCAAGGTTTCAGTTTGTCTAGTTGACAACTTCATAGGGAAGCTCTTACTTTGATGTCAAAGTTGATAGAAGATTATGAATTCTGAAACTGAACTTATATTTTAGGCAGTTCTGGTAATTACATTTTGAAGCGATTCAAAAATACCTGTAAAAATTCTGCGAAGTGGTATTCGTATAATATTTTGGTTTCTGGTGGTGACCTTCTGCAGAAAGCCGAGGTCCTCAAAAGGGAAAAGGAATTAGAGAATCAGCTTACTTTTGCTTCCGGTCCTCTGGAGATTGAAATTCGGAAAGTATGACAATGGCATTTTCAGATTACACAGCTGTTATCATGTTTGTTGTGGTCTGAACAGTCAAACTTATGTTACTGTAGAAGGATAATGGCAGAAGAGATGAAGAGAAAGATGCGATCAAGTATAACGTACTCCAATTTGAAACACAAGAGCTGGATGTATTCTTGGTAAAATGAATGTCTATCTGGTAATGTACAATTTGGTTCCACATCCACATGAGAATTACTATGTTTACATAATATTTTCGTCTGTTATGTGCAGGAAAATGCTTACATTTATGAGAAAGAGGAGATCCAGATTATTTCAGAAGTTCAAGAGACTCAAATTAACCTAGTAAATGTCTCTTGAAAATTCATGATTCAGTTATAAGTTGCTATTGTACTAAGCTTCAGTCTTTCCATTCAGTTGATGCAGGATAAATAGCACTGGCACTTCCCAACCTTAAGAGTGACTTGTCTGTCTTATGTGTGATTAAATTTTTAATGGTGAAACATAATATTTGCCAGTTGTAATGATTATAACCATAATTATTTTCATAATTGTCATATTAGGTAGTGCAATTCTAAGGTTTTTTAAACTTATTTTATTTTTTGGAATTTCCCTTTGATAGGGAAGGGATGGATCTAGAAATAATTATAGGTTGTATTCTCCTTAGTCAGCTTGATTGCTAACAAGTACTGATATTAAATTTGTCTGAGGGTATGTGTTTCTGATCCCTAACTGTATATTATGAGGGGGATGCTAATGAAGTAGACTTTTTCTTCCAGGAAACGATCAATCTTACAATAGAGTATCCTTGGGAAGTTCATGAATCAGTTCATACAGTTGAAGACTTTCATTCAGAGTATCGCATGGATCAAAAGGCTTATTTGTTCGAAGATGATGGTTCTTATAAGGACCAAATGCACTTTTATCAGACTTTCCCTCTATTAGAAGCAAATGAGATAACTCTGCAAACTTTGACAGGTTTGTCAGTTGAGGATGAACTTTCTTCTGTTTACGAAAATATTGAGCCCCAACATTGGGCTCAAAAGGATAACCTGAATGGCAAGGAGCTTTTGGGTACCAAAGAATACGGGATATTAGAACAGTGTCTTAGATCTGATGTTGGGTCCCTTGACATTACTCCTGAGATGGACTTATTAAGCATGGTGGAAATGTCACAGATTCAGGGAAACATTGCATATCAAGGAGTGTCCTTAGATGCTTGTTTTCAATCTATGGGCCCGGTTGTTTTTCAGGAATTTCAGATTCTTGATTTGGACACATCTCAGAATTTTGAAGTCCTCTTTACTGCACAAACAGCAAATGAACCAGAAACGTGTCACTGGATGTTTAACAGAGACGTGAACTTCAGTACTTTAATTGTCAGTCATGAGCTAGCTCTGGTTGATGAAACATTCAAATCATTGCCTGTACCTGTTCTCTCTGATCATGAAAAGATAAGTTCATTATATGTTGTTATTGAGGAAACACTAAATGACTTAAAACCGCAGCCCCTATCTGCTTCAGATAGAATTTACTTGGATTGGCATCTTCTCGAGAAAGATAAATGCAATTTTCAGACTTATTCCTCCCATCAGAAAGTGTTGGAGGACATGAGTTCACTCAGCACCTGTTTTGATTGGGATTCCTATGATGAAGGAAAGTTGGTGTATGACTTTGCTTTCTCCGATGATTCTGTAGATGGGTTAAACACAGAAGAAAACAAAGAAATACAGGAGTTGCTTTCTGATGTCATTCCCATGCTTGCTGGTCATCTTGGAGATGGTTCAGCCAAACTATCAGACGACAATTTTCCACAGCCAAAAAACGGAGAGGATATAGATAAAAGAAGTGCTGAGAGGGCTTCATCGTTTTTCGAGTCTATGTCCCAATTCAATGATTTTGACTTTGACTTTTTCTTGAATCCTCGGAAGGCCTCTACAGGTGAAAATAGCAATTGTGCAGTTACCAAAGTTGATAACACTGCTACATTTACCGAGGTTTTTCCCTGCAATTACTCGTTATTTATGTGAATTTGTCTCTCCTGTTTATCTTATTGTTTATCTGTTGTTTCATATATGGATAGCTTATTAATTCAAACTTACCACTCTACAAATAACGCAAGCTGTTTGCACAGGGAGAACAGTCTCATTCTACATCTGCTCCAGTTGGGAATATAAATGATCAGAAGTCAAGGGAACTCTTGAACATTTTTCCTGGTGAGGGAAAGAATGATATGAGATCTAAAGAAGCAGCAAATGAAGTAGAAGCTAGGAGTATGCCCCTACCCAACCCTTCTATGCCATCTGCAATGGACACTGAGCATACTCAACAGAACATGATGTCTTTCCCTGAGATGGTCATTATTGTAAACACTCAAAATCTTGAAAAGGAAATGATAGTATCCAGAAGAAGTACCTACCAAAAAATTCTTGCAAAGGAGAAAGAAGGGGCACAAGTTGTAGAACGTGATTCAGATTTACCTGTGGATATTATAATCAGTTCTGCAATTTGTTTAGTGTGGTATGATTGCAGAAACATAGGAAAGAAAGCAACTGCTCTTGATGAAGCTTCTTCATGCTTACCTTTGTGCATTGAGGACATTGCCACAAATGTTTTGACGTTGCTGAGTTTCACTTTCAGTGGCTGCATTATGGTAGTTACCTTTACAATGTTTTGCAGTTTTTACTCTTTTTTATTTGCTTTGCTAAATCTTTATTTCTTGCTTAGCTCATAAGGCAAATGAGTCAACTTTAGCATCCTTAGATTCTAGATTCTAGTTGATTTACTTTTCCGCACTGAAGTGATATAAATTCTTTTTTTTCTTGTGTTTTATCTTTTAACAGGTGTTTGAGGGAGAACAGAGCTTCCTATCCACTGTAATGGAATCCTCAGATGGACTTTATGCTGCTGCAGCGAGCCTGGGAATTGATTTGCAGCTTTTCAACTCGTACTCATCTGAGTTGACTGATGAAATTATATTGAGCTGCATGGGATATGCCACGAAGTTGACTAGGTGGCTATATCCTCGAATGCCTGAATCGGAAACTCTTGCAGAATCATTCCTTACCAAGTTCCCTTCGGTAAATTCCTTGACAGCTCATGCAATACTGTCTTCAGGAGGCTTGCTCAAAGAGTTTCTTGAATGGTCCTATGAAACCAGGATCTGTGCAATTCAAAAATATCAAGTTCCTGATGAAAGTATCACACTATTCAGTGCTTTATGCAAATATGGTGAACTGGAAGATTCTAAATCAATTATGACAGACTGCTCCTCTTCAGTGTCTTCAGGTCCGGATTCAGGAAGATTCAGAAAGAGACGAAAATACAATGGTAGCCCTGACAAATGTGAGATACAAATGAATGGCTTATTGCACCTGGAGCAGTTAAACCGATTCACTGATGGCATCTTGGATCCTTCTACAATTTCCAAGCTACCTGATTCATGTATGTCAAAAAGCCCCAAAAGACATGATGAGTTCAGAAGGCCTAGGTTCTCTCAGAATGATTTGCTTGATCAAGAACAGGGTTTGGATATGGATATGATGATGAGTCCTTTTAGGGTTCTTGAGACATATGATTCTCAGATCGCCAAAGGGCCTCAGTCATTAAACGAGATAAAAAGGTCTTGTTTATCTTCGGAGGGTAAGCTATCAGGCCAGAAACACCGATCAAATATGCCTATCATGAACAAATTTGATTTGAATACCATGAAGAACTCTGAGATTCTGCTTGAGGACCTAAGAGGGGAAGTCATTGACCTAACAGATAGTCCTGTATTAGATGAGGACTTTTCTTCCATTGCCAACTCCATGAAATTCTCATCTTTGATGCCTGAGTTGGAAATAGATTCCACAAGGAAGTCTAAAGCTGCGAGAAAATTGTCATTTGATTCAAGCAGTCACCGTACATTCCCAACAGCTGCTGAAATAAACTCAAGTTCAACTGTTTGGCATTCTGTAAAAGACCCAAGAAAAAGTTCGCAAGTTGGAGCCAACAATAACTCAGATACGGATCTTGAACACGATGTTTTCTCATTGAGACACCGTAACAAGCCCTTAGAGGAGGGTTTTATGCAGAGGTCCGGTGGAAAAACCCAAGGGCTACATCTCCACGAGAATGATATATCACATTATGGAGGAACACCACTCAAAAATGCTCTCCGTTCGGCCAATTCACAACAAAATACTCCCTGGACAATAGAGTTTCTGAACAGAATCAAGGAAAAGAGCAGGTTGCGTCAACAGTCCCTTCCACGTGACTTATCTGGACCTAGTTTGGGTTATTTAGGGAATGTATCGAAAGTTACCAAGAGAAGAAGTCCGTCAATTATTGAGTTTTTCAAGTACCAAGGTGGTAACACTCCGAGAAAATTACCAGAAACAAAGAGGCAGAAGCGACCTTTACAATCATCAAGCTCATCCAAGAAAGAAAAAGGTTCAGCATCTCCTCTTACCGCATGGACACCTGCTGATAAGAGAGCGAGACAGGTTGTCTAGTATCCCTTTTGGCATTTTGATAGTATGAATTTTGTTTTATTATAATTCACTTGCTTTTGCAATGAATGATAGCGGAAGCCAAACAAAGCTGGTCTGGAGTGATGGAAGTCATGGTCTGAGGAAAAAGTTTTAGATTCAAACACGACAGGGCTAGGTATGTTGGTGCAGATGTTTCCTTTTATATTTTCCTGGATGGAACATTAAAATGATATATGTTGCATGTCGGTTTCTGAATGGATACTTTTCTGCCAGTTCTGATTCTGCTGTAATTAGTATTGATATGACAAAATCGTTGGAATATAATTGGCCTCTTATCAGTATGCTTGAGCATAACATTTTAAAATAAATTAGTGGCCAATGGCCATGCTAGACGTGTGGCCAAAAATATTGAACAGCTAGTAACTAGAAACTCATGTCACAACTTCTTGTATTCTCTAATGTGCTTTTTTGCCCCGTCCATGTCTTAATTTGCGAAGAAACTTTGCATGCATTTCTCTCTCTCTCTCTCTCGTGTTAGTGGCTACCCACGTCATATTGATCACTACTGACAATTAACTGAACTCGAACTACTTCAGTGTCCCAATTTTATGATAGACATCTCTGTTTTCATTAACCAAATTTGCACATTGAAAAAAGTTGTATATTAAATTCTCTAGACGAATATCATGAATGAATGAGTAATGCTGATACAAAAAAAATTATGTTAACTATAATGAACATGGTACAATATTCATGAAAACTGAACTCACTTATGAATCCTAGATCTTCATCCTTCGTACTCCCAGAGTCCCAGATGGATTCTTATTGGAGAGTGATGAACAGAGTCATGAGAAAGTAATGTCTATTGCAGTAGAGTCTATGTCTTGATAATGCTCGGGTAATAGGCTAATAGTAATGGATAATGCTTTAGACTAGTTTTATCGATAAATGCAAATTAGGGAGAAATAAATTTTTTATTATAAAGAAACCATTATAGCCGCGCGGCTATACTATTTATTTATTTATTTATTTTAAAGCGTATAGCCGAATAGACTATTTTAAAAGTATCGCCACTATACTGTAGAAATAGAATATTTTAAAAGTATAGCCGTGCTGCTATACTTTATAAATACCGTAACCTGAATTTCTCTTTTTTAATTAATTTAATTATTACTTATGTTTTAATTATTGTTTACTTAGTAAATAATTAGTATTTAAGAATTTTATTAAATTTAAATATTTTAAAAACTTTTTTTAAAAAAATTATTGACCTAAAGATACTGAGTTTATATTTATTTTTAAAAAACCTCTCCCAATGAAATTTCGTCAGCACAGGTATATGCCAGCAAAGATTTGCTGGATTAGATCTCTCCCGACGAAATTTTGTCGGCATAGTTATTTTCGTCAGGAAAGGCATAGACCTGTGTCGATGAAATTTCGTCGAGAGAGGTTGTTTTGCCCTTTTTTTTTCTTTTTTCTTTAAATATATAAAAAATATAAAATTAGTTTCTTTACTTTTTTTTTGGCCCACTTCTTTAATTTAATACATATAAATAAGAAATACCTTAGCCTTTTTTTAATTACTTTAATTAGTAAGTATGTTTTAATTATTATTTCTTTAGTGAATATTTAAATTTTTTACTGATTTTTTAAATTACTTAGTATATAGTAAATAATAATTAAAATAAATGCGTATGTGTACAATATGTGTATAGTTTGCTTTTATATATTTAAAAAAACGCGCATTATACCAAGTCTTTAAGACGTATACGGAAAATGAAAGTATTATTGACAAATACGTACGTATGTGTATAATACGAGTATTAAATGAGAAAATGCTAAATTCTTTATACGGATAATAACTCTGAACAAGTAAAAAATCAAAAGGGGACAATAGCTATACCTTCGGATAGTAGTTATGTTTTTTAAATAACTATACCTTTTTAATGGCATAATTTGGATTTCTCTTTTTTAATTACTTTAATTAGTAGTTATATTTTAATTAATGAAAAATATGCGTGTGATGCGTGATTCAATCAAGAACTTGACAGGTTCTGCAATTGTAGTTGTTTTTTTTTGTTTTGGTGAAAAAAATATGAGGGCTAGGTTGGGTGAGGAGAAAGGAAGGAGTCGAGGTAGGGGTATTTTGGAAATAATGGAGGGTCAATGGAGAGTGAAATAGCGCTAGAGGAGGGAAACAAAAATCTCAAATTGGATAAGAACTGATAGAGTTCATAAGTATATACATTGGAAGGCTGCATCCGTTGGAAGTTTGGCAAATGCTTGACTCACAAGAATGAAGCTTAAGTCAAAATTAGTCTCGCGTTGGAAAACTAGAGTTCCGTGAAGGTCTTTATAAGACTTACTTTTAGAAATAGGATAGTTTGAATTGGGCTATGCAAGTGGCCTAATCGAGTGGCTTGTGGCCCAATTAATTAAAGGACACTGCAACCTATTTAGGTTTGAAAACTTGCCTTCAAGTTTATTATATCTTCATACAGCTTTGTGTTTTCCTTTGTACAAACACAATAAATTTTTTATCAACTTACAAGTAAAGCATTTGAGGCTTCGGTTTGAGCTTGAGCCGGAGGTTTGTTTGGCAAAGTCTCCTTTCGGTTCTCTCGTGTCTGCATTGTAAACAAATTACTTCGCCACGAGGAGGAAGAAGAGCAGGTTGAGAGAGCTCAAGACAGCCAAGAACAAACAGTAGTAGTCGAAATGAGAGATCTTTAGGTTGACCAAAATCCAATCCCTGCCATGTTGCTTGGTGATGTTTGAAACTGTTGAGAGAAGAAAACTACTAAGAAAGCTTCCAATTCCCAAGCTGGTTGTGAAGTATGAGGTCCCCAGCTGCAATTCCGTAATCTGTACAGTTCCCAAGGCTCAACATCTCAGAGGATGCTAGTTCTTCTTACTGCTTCTGAGGTTACGCACAGTCATTACAAGTTGTTGCCGTTCACCTTCAACCTCTGCAAATCTGAGACTTATCTCTGAATATCTTTCTTGCATATCCTTTAGTTCTTTTTCCATAGATTTGTTTCTTTCCTTCAGTAATGTCAATTCAGTCAGCAAGTCTGTAAAATTATTCTCATCACTGGTATGGAAAGTGGAGGCTTTCAACTTTTTCTCTGAGCAATCTTCTGTTTTCCTGTGAAATACAATGAAAAGTTAATAAATGGCTATTCTGTAAAGTTGCACTCTACTTCTTTACTGGTGACAGTAGTTCTTTTTGCTCACATCTACATGCATACTTTGATCAAAACTCAAAAATAAAAAACAATAAACAGCTGGTATGTAGATGGAATGGTATAATTGGATAATTAGTTGGGATAAGCAGAGATGAAGTCAAAGTTTGATTGATTGAATGCTTGTACCTTTGACCCTGTAACTGAGATATTTGTTTCCTCAAGCTTTCTTTTGCCAATGCTTCCTTATACAAGGTATCCTTAAACTCCTTGTGCTGGGTCCTCAGGTTTTCCACTTCTGACTTCAGATAAGTGATTGTCGTTTCCTTCTCTTCTTTTAAAGATCTCATATTGGTAAGTTCTTCATGTGTTTTCTCTGCTTCCTGCTTTGCTGAAGCAAATCTTTTCTCCAAATTATCCTTTTCAACATTCAAACACTGGATCCGCATCTCATTTTCAGCAATTAGTTTGTTCATTTGTTTCAAATCTCCTCTCAATTTCTCTTCCTCCTGTTTTGTGGAGTTAGAATTCTCTTCTGTGAGCCTTTCTATCTCAGCTTTGAGCATTTGCATTTTCATTGAGAGAGCTTCATGTTCTTCCTCCTCATGCTTTTTTGCATGTTCAAGGAGCTTGGATTTATTGTCTAGTTCCAATGATATCTGCTTTATATGTTTTGCTTTCACATCAATCTGGTTGACAAGATCTTGCAATCTTACTTCATTCTGGTCCTTAATCAGCTCTAACTCTTCATTGGCTTCCTGGAGCATCTCTTCCAGAATTCTGTTCTGCTGACGCAGTTCATTAGCTTCTGCCAGTGCTTTTGTGGCCTGCTTCTCATTTTCATCAACCTTAGATGTCATTTCCACAGAAAGCCTTCTAAACTCCTCTTGAAGACGCTCAGCTGTAACAGAATTATTCCACCTTGTCTTTTTCAATGCTTCCTCTGCTTGGATGGCCCTCTGTTCTTGCTCAACCTTGGCACATGTCACGGCCTCCAGTTTCTCTTCAAACCCCTTGGCCTGCGTCTCCAGTTCTCTCTCCAAAGAGTTAACCTCACTTTCAAGTTCCTGAATGGAGATCAAACATTCTGCAAATTCATGTGCTTGCTTCTCAATTGTTTCTTCTGATCTCTCTAACTGAGATTCAAGCTCTTTTATAGTAGCTATATAGCCTGCCCGCTCATTTTCCATCTCTGTTCGTAGTCTTTCTTGGTTACGATCTAACTTCAAAGAGATGCCACAGTTGTCCTGCTTTAAAAGGTCATAGTCCAAGGTGAGCTGTTTTATATGCGCACCTTGCTCTTCCCTCTTCTTCTCGTGGGTGTCTATTTCACTAAGAAGTTCTCTGATCTTAAGCTTCAAGGATTCTACTTCCTGGACATCACTGTGCTTCTTAGTCAGTTTCCCTGCAGATTTTTGGATTTCATCCTCAAACATTTTACCCATCACTTTGGAATTCTTTTCAGTTTCTAACTTGCTTGAAAGATCAGCTACTTCCCTTTTTTCCTTCTCCAACGCGTCTTCAAGATCCTTCACCACTAGGACTAACTCAGAATTTGAATCTTGTGTCCTCTGCAGTTGCAAGTGAAGATTGGTTCTAACTTTCTTTTCAAAATTAAGCTCTTGCTTGATTGCTTCTAACTGAACTCTTGTATCCTTGGTCTCGGGCTGCAACTTTTTGAAAGCCTGTTCCCCATCGCTACGTCCCTGCGAGGACTTAAGTTGTTCGCATTCTATTCTGAGTGCATCTCTCTCCTCTTTAAGGCTAATAACTTGTCTTGAGAGATTCTGTCCTTGTTTACTCTCTTTGGCCATCTGTTTCCGAAGAGACTGTAACTCCAGTTCTGATAGGTCTGCCTGCCTCATAAGAACAGCAATTTCATTTCTGAGTTTCTCAATGGAATCATCTGAACCCGCTTGCACCCTTTCGGTTGGAAGCTTGTCTTCAACACTATTTGGTGAATCAAATAAACTTCCATCTGATGACCAATCCAAGCTTGATTTTTGACGCATATGGTTTTTTATTGCGGTGGCACCGTTGTTTCCGTTTTGAGGCATGGAGTTTTGTTCAAGGGGTGACAGGGAACTGGCAGCATCCTGATGGCCATTAGTGGTTTTGTCGCAGGCTCCATTCTGTTCGACAGCATGAAATACATCTGTGTTAAGTTCATTTTAATAATTTCATCCCGTCTGAACTGCGTTAAAAGAAAATGCTAGAAAATAACGTACTTCCGTAAAACTGAGGTGGTTGCTTCCATCTGTATCCCAATTGCTGTTTTGGATGTCCATGCTGCTATGGCGTGAAAGAGTCGGATCATCACCTTCTTCAATTTCCCTGAGATTAGATAAATTTTATTATTAACTAGCAGAAGGGGAAAGCAAAAGAAAATTAAAATACATAAAAGTTAGAGAAGGAAAGAATGACGCGTCAGTGTTGATTGTCACCTTTGATCACCATCTTCCTGAATCCTGTGAATTGTTACCTGTCTCAATAATTTTCGTAAGTATTAGGATTTTTTTTTTTGAAGTCAATGACATTGAAGTTTTGTTTTGTTCTGAGAACAGACAGAACTAGTTGTGTTAAATCATGAGAATTTCTCGAGTGCGTGTGTGTTTCAGAGTGAGAGAAATAGAGAGGACTGACATGTAAAACTACACCAGAGTTTGCAAATTTAAGAGGCAGAATGACTGTTAGGGGTTCAGTTTCTGCCACAATATCTGCAAAATCAATTGAAGCTTCTCCAAGATAACCAGCTTTTGACGAGCCCTGCAATAACCCATTAGAATTAGAACATACCAAAAGAAGCCCAGAAACAAAAAGGCAAAGTGAGAAAAAGAAAAACTCTCAAAACAATATATTCTTCCATACAGTTGAAACAATGAAGTGATAAATCTTCTCTTTCAGTTTTCCCGTTTTTGATTCCTCAATGAGTTTCACTGATTCATAAACTGGATTCTCCCAAATACAGGTTCCATCCTGAACTGCAGCTTTTCCTAGTTTCACCGTCGGCTTTCCGACGTCGTCCGGCACCAAAGACAACATCAAAGCAGGCTTTTTCAATTTCGGCACCTGAGATGAAAATGGTCAGGAAGAAACCAGGTATGATAAATCTCGTCTCTGTAGATCACATTTCAGATGAACTCGTTTGAATACAAAAAATTGAAACTTCCAACCCATTGAGAGTAAGTAGTAGCAGGAAAGAAGATGGTTTAGTTTATGCGCGTCGAAAATCATACCTGCGTTGCCTGAAACTGCAGTTGGAATATAGCTTTTATCTTCTTCTTCTTGCTCCATGACTTGAACATGTTTTTCAGTCTTCTTGAGTCTTGTTGAGTTTTCAGATCTCAGAAATCCAAGTCACTGTCTTCGTCTAAGACTTTAGCAAACAATGCCTGCCTTTCTGAGCTTATTCACCGAAAGAGTTAGGCTGATATGGTTAGAAGTCCAAGTAAGGTATTTTTCTTTGAAAATAACACATGAATATTCTGAAATGCCCGTCTAGCTGTTAAACCTCACATCTAGCTGTAAGTAGTAGATACTTCGTAGACTTTGAAGAAGAAGACTCAGGGCAGCAAAAGATACAAATAAAAAAAATGTTATTGCAGAAACAAAAGAAGAAGCTTCGCTGTAATGGATTTAATGCAATCGTTATATGTTTCAAGAAAGATATCTGAATCGCATTACAGTTTACTTTCCGCTTTTAAAAAGGTTAATAATGCGTCGTTCGTGGAGTTTAAATGACGGAAATTACGCCTCCTCCTTTTGGTAAGTAAAACGGCCCTGCTCTTTAATTTTAGATCTTCATTACCCGAAAGATGGCCTTCTTTACGAGCTGCGAATCCTATGCGGATTAGGTCAGTTGATTAAGACAGTATTTCACTTGAATTCAAACATCGTCCCTATAGATTGTTAAACTAATATAAAATATCGTTATTGTCAAAAGTTAAAACCACATGATAGTGAAAACTTTACTTGACCAGAGAATGAAGGTCTAATAGGCCACTCGAAAAGTGACATGAGGACAACCAGAGTTTGATAGGTCACCTTGGAAGTATTGATTAAGAAAATGGTCCTGCCATGAGAAAAACAATCTCATCATCATAGGGCCCGGCCAGTCTGAAAAGATGAATAAAAGTTGCTACATTTATGTGAGTGCCTGCCTGCCTTGTCGGTTGTCCAAGACTAAGCCAAATTCCTCAATTAATAAGATAATAATTGAGGAGGCACATGGCGTTGGTTGGAGCCTTGGTTCAACGTCAACACGTGCCCTGCTCTGTGCTCCACGTGATCGTATTTATCTTCTTTCCCCTATTTTCTTATAAATTTGGAACATGAAATTTGTTATTTTTGCCGAGTAACAGCTTCCTAGTTGATTTTTTGGGTATAGAAAACAGGACAGGAGCAGACAATTTTAGTCATAAACATTGAAATGACATTCTGGCTGGGCATATGAATGGCAATGCTGCTAGGTTTTTAGGTGCATTGCTCCTTCTCAATGCTTTCTGGGGTCCAATTTGTGAATCAGATGTCTCTGTCTGTTCCCAAATCACTACTTCACCAATAAATTACTTAGGATTTGACCTCAAAAACAACGTAGCATAGCATAGCTATGCTACTTCTCCTCGTAGTATAGTCAGCCAATTAAGGATGGCAGACGATTAACTAGAAAACTAGTTCAACTATGAATAGTTGGGGGTGGGCTTTTATTGATTTTATTTATTTAAGTGCGAGTATTATTGAATGAATACAATACAAGGAACGTAGAGTAGAGGGGAAATGATTAAAGATGTCACTTGTTTTCTGTTTGCTTTTTCAATTTTTGGGTCTGTTCTTGACAATGAAATGCTTGAGTTCAACTTGGGCCTAGAATGTGGGCTGAATTTGGGCTTTTAACGCCACGTTAAAATGACGGGAGGGGCTGTGAGCCTGAGAAGGATCATTCAAGTATGAAGCTGGACAGAATCAGGAATTTCATTGGAGATGATGGGTCCCTTCTTAATCAGGGTATGATGTCACCAATGACTTCAACCACAGAAGGACGTCGGATGGAAATTTGCCCTAGAATACCTTACTTGTCATGAGAATCGCATGGAACACTTACGTAACGTTACCACCCTGAAGAGCCAGAGAGAAAGACCAACAAGGGAAGAAAACGACACAAAGTTGGGTACACCTAGTCAAAAAAGCCTCCTATGGACAAGAGCCAACGTGGCATCCATCACAGATTGTTTCAAGATCTCAATCCGACGGTCCAAATGGCTCGACATAAACTGGTGGAAAGTTTTGAGAAGACAATACCAAGAAAAAAAGAGATAAAATCATAAATAAAAAAAGGGGTTTTCCATATGTATATAATTGACTCGTTTTCAGGAAAGAAATAATTACGAAGAAGAGAAGAGGGAAGAAGAAAAGGAAAGAGATGGCGTTAAGGGTACCAGCAATTCCATTCACGTTTGTTGCACACACGCTTGGAATCGCAGCTTTGGTTCTGGTTTTGGTTTGGAACATACACTTCAGAGGTGGTTTCGCATGGGAAGCTGCAAACAAGAACCTCATCTTCAACGTAAGTCTTTCTCTCTCTCTCTCTCTCTCTCTCTCTCTCTCTCTTTCTTCTGGGTTCTTTCTTCTAGGTTTATTATGCATAACGTTTCTTTTCATTTTTGCATAGTAGTGCATATGAATTAGATGTTTGTTTGTTCTTGATTGATCGATCGATGTAAATTTTGTTTTGGCCGCCCTTGATTCTTCTTCTTGATGATATGGTGTTGGATACCACTCTTTTTTTTAATTTTGTTTTCTGACGACCGTTATTGGCGCTGGTCACGGAGACTTTTAAGCAAGCAAATGGTGGCTTTTCTTTTTCTTGTTTTCTGACGACCGTTAGTTTTTCCATTTTGTATTTTCTATTTCTTCTTTTGGGTGAGTGTATGTAGATTATTAACTAGAGTTGAGATTAAGAAACACTAATTAATAATAAATCACTTAATCAAGTTGAAGAGCAAGAAAAGTAGTCGTTTTGATGGTAGGTGAAGGCGATGATGCATGGCTATCACAACTTCACCAACCATTCCAAGTCCAACACACCTACCCCTGTAATTTGAATATCATCATTTATTTTATTTTATTAGTTTGGGGTTTAAGCGTAAATAAGTGGAACACGTATGGCAGCTCGCTACCATAACCAGAACCATATGATGCATGGGTGCCTGGAGTGGAGAGTAGCACATTCACATATCCAAAGTTGGAAACAACGCTGAATGTTGAGTAGTCACGTGTCTGCCTACTTGGACACCTTCGTCTCTTGTGATGCTAAGTGAACGATCATCATTTATCCACATCAGCAGATGATAATATTCTTAAACAAATTACCAACAAAAGATAATAAATATTCTTAAATCAATTGTCTCATCGTTTCTTTCTAGCGCCTTCGTCTCTTGGATTGGATTGGATTGGATTAGTACACGATTGAGTTTATCCTCTCTAGATAATATAGCTGGCACTTGGCAGCCTGGCAACACTCGAGTATTCAAATCATTCACCGTGGCCCGCCTTCGATTCCTTTCCTAGCTCAATTTATTCAATGACTGTCGTTTTCTTCTGGACTTTTATTTACTTTTCCTAAATATTTTTATTTCTCTTGGGTCTCAAAAAGTCCAAGTGGCCCATAACGAAATTAACAGCGTTGATGGTGGGTCCGTTGAGTTTGAGTGGCCTTAATCTATGCGAAATAAATAAATAAAATGTGAAAACAATGGCCCACCCACGAAGAGAAACAAAAAACAATGGCCCAATATCATGGCCCAGTTATAATATTTATTTTTTTATCTTAATTCTATAATTCCTTGTCCGATAATCATTTGTTTGTTAAACGTGTTTGTGCAGCTCCATCCTTTGCTCATGCTACTTGGTTTAATTATCTTGGGAGGAGAAGGTAATTAAAAAGTTTCATCCCTTTTGCAATTTTAATTACTGAGTTTTGCCCTTGGTCTGATGTTGATCCCAAAACCAAATATTGCAGCCATTATTAGTTACAAATCGCTTCCTTTGAAGAAACAGGTGAAGAAACTGATACACCTGGTTCTTCATGCTCTCGCGTTAGCCCTGGGTATCATTGGTATTTATGCTGCATTCAAGAACCATAATGAGAGTGGGATTGCCAACCTCTACAGCTTGCACTCCTGGATTGGGATTGGAGTCATTGTTCTCTATGGCATTCAGGTATAAATCCTTAATCCCACTTTGCATAACCTAACCACTAAAAACTCGACACTCATTTTCCAACATGGTGGTTGTTAACCGTTCATATATGTGGATCATAGTGAAGCGTACACATATATGTCAATAGTTGACAACCACCCACACAGTCGATCAGACAAGACAATTGTCGTTTAAATTTTTCCTGAACCTAATTATTTGTATAATTTTTATGGGCAGTGGATATATGGGTTCTTGATTTTCTTCTACCCTGGAGGAAGTCCTATCCTAAGGAGTGAGTGTATGCCATGGCATGTGGTATTTGGGCTCCTTGTGTACGTTTTGGCTGTGGCCAATGCTTCACTAGGGTTCTTAGAGAAGCTCACATTCCTTGAGAGCTCAGGAGTGGCCAAATTTGGTTCTGAGGCCTTTCTTGTCAACTTCACTGCTCTCATCACAATATTATTTGGAGTCTTCGTTGTAATTTCAGTTCTTTCTGAAGCTCCTGCTCCCATTGAAGATGACCACAGCTATTCATCTATATGATTATATAACAATATTGTTAAATAGTGTACTTGGCTGTAAGTTGAAGGACTGAAGCATGGGTACCTATTATTTATGATTTACGTGTAGCCTATACATGAACATGATAAAACATTTGTGACCACTTATTCATAATTATTAGCATGCCCATCTTACTTATTTTACTTTTATTTCATTGCAAGCTTCTTACCATGCTCTTACGTGTGTGCATGTGTGAAAGAGATTATAAGATTTCGAGAATCATAAAAATTGCATGTTCAATTTTAATGTTTGATAAGAACTGCGCATGTGTGAAAGAGATTATAAGATTTTGAGAATCATAAAAATTGCATGTTCAATTTTAATGTTTGATAAGAACTGCATGCGCATGATACAACGTAATTATGTTGTGGTGTAAATGAGAGCAACAGGTTTTAATTTGTTGGTTGTGATTTTGGGAGACCAACGATTATATATTGGTGTCATTGCAAGATTGCTCGCCACTCAGACACTCGAGCAAGAAGACAACTGCAAATTGCTCAAGTGATTTGGTAGAGTACGTAGAATCTTAACCACTTGTGTGTTATCAATCAAGGGAATCCGAATGGCTCAAGGTAATTTTCCTTAAGTTTGTTTCATGTTCTAAGATTCTACGCTAGCGCTATATAGACTGATTCAAAATGCATGGTTTATTCCTTCCTCTGTCAGAGCTTGCAGAGATACAGAAGGAAGTCATTCAGTCCCGTGTAAATACATGGGAGACCAAACAAAAAGCAAGAGTTGATAACAAGTAAGCAGAAGCATAGCAATTTTGGAAAAAGCCTTTGGAAATGAATTATACTAATCATGATAAAATTATGTATGGATGAACAGAGCTGACAAAATGAAAGCCATCAACGAGGAGAAAAAGAACGCAAGTGAAATAGACCTGGAGGCCTTGGGGAAGAAGATTGAGGTCGTTGCATGGCTGCACTTTTATTTGTTTATCAAATTAATAATCTAATATTAAAATTTATAATTAATTTATATATGCATGATGGAGCAGACAAAAGTTGAGAAGCTAAGACATAAGGAACTGGAAAAGATGAAGAACAAAGAAGCTCACTCGATCAAGGTCATAGAAGACACCAAGGTCAAAATTGAAGCAAAACGCACCCATGGACTTCAGAAAGTTGAGAAGAAGGCTGAAAAATTTCGTGGCAGCAATTCTTTGCCAACCAAGTGTTTTGGTGTGTGTGTAGACGAGTGAAAATCCCCCCACACCACACCACACTAGACTAGACGCAATCAAATTTTCGTGTAATTAATAAATCAATATTATCATAATTATAATAAAATTAGCTAATAAAGTAATTAACTGTGACATTGTACACGAATAATTGTACCCCTTTTTTTTTAGGGAGTTTCACTAAAACACCCAAAATGGGAGTTGAAATTATAAAAAAACCCAAGCACTATTTAAACATATAAACACACCCAAAACCCATCATTACACACACTCAAAACCCATT